CGTAAGCGGACGCTCGAGCATCGGGTTCACTGACCAACTCAAGGTCGCGGAAACTCGGGCTTTTCTTCTTTTCCGCGACATCTTCTTTCGCGGACCATTTACGCGGAACACAATTCCCCTGGACGAGACCAGGCTCCCCGGGTCTCGATGTAATCTCTCCTTTTTGCGACGAATTATTGTACAACGATGCACGGTTGAATTTCGCTACCGATCAAGAAGCTGTGATCTATTACGAGTTGCTAAAACGACAAATGATTCGCGTGAAAAACGGCGACACTATTGACTATATTTCCTAACAATTAGATGTGGCAAATATATTTTAATAAATTGTACAGAAAATTTCTATAATTTTTGTGGTGATTATTTGAATATGATCGCGTATACAGTAATCCTGCGTTTTTTGACGGAAACTCGGGCCCGCTAGGCGTCGACTAGAAAGATCCGGAACCAAATTCTATTTCGAGCCGTGATCCAGCCACGGTTGAACTGTCTGGCGAGAAAAGCAAATGGGATACACCTAGTAGCGGGACTTCGAATCGCTTCGCATTGCTTCGAATCTTATTGTGTGCTGTAACACCGATCCGAAGCGATCCGAATATGACAAACTCTTGATCGTCTTTGAAGTCTTGATTGTCTCGTAGCCCTCGATCATCTTGGATGTCTTGAAACTCTCGATCGTCTTTGGGGGGGTCTCGAAAGCCTCTACAACATCGATAAGTGTGAGTTTCGAGTGTCGAATTAACGAACGTTTAATATCTTAAGTACACCGTTGCGTTGTCCATGCAATTTCGTTAATATAAATCGAGGAATATATTCTTAAAGTTAATTTGGTCACTTAAAGTCAAATGCTTTGGCAGTGAAATTTTAAAAAATTCATATAGTCGATCGCTTTGACTTGCAAACTCGTACAGAATGTTGATAAGCTGAAAATGGTAGAATAATACATCTAAAAAGTCTAAAGTATACATGTATGCAATTTGGCTGGCGCGTCTGTTCTGTACTTACTGTTTCTACTTACCCCCATGACCAACTCGAACATGTTACATCGACGTTTCACGCGTTAATGAAATTGCGCGAACAAACGGAATACAAATGCATCGTATAAACGTGAATACTTATTTATTAAGTAAACAAAACCTTCAAACTCTATCGGTAGTCGAAATACTCGAGAACCGTAAGACCTTTCGAGTAACTCGATTTTTCCGCCATTTTATAGATTCGAAGGGATGTTGCTCTTGTATGGACGGTATGGTAACCATATTAATGCAATATAAATTATTTTTATATTTTTCACTCGATATTAACGTGAACCTAAATACAATGTTACTGGCGTCGTTAGGATCTTACGAGATGACCTAATACAATCAGCAAGAGTAATTCGTGTCATCCAAGGGGAAAGTCACCAGCACCTCGGTTACCCCTTCTCCTTCTTAACAAGTTTTATAGTTGTTGCGAGGCTGGAACGTTGGATGGCGTTATTATTGCAACAGCGAGAAGCGAGAGCGCAGAATCACTAACCAACCGATCGCATGACAAAGCTGTCCGACGTTTCGAAATGGCTAACTTGTATGCAACGTGTCACAGCTATCGCTATGAAATTAGAATGCTCCCCCGATCGCAACATTTCTATTTTTTAATATTTCCCGATTACTACGAATAAACTGCCAGATATTAAATTACCGTCTGCGTGTGAATTCGATAAGGGGCCTTTCACAAATTACATCACGTTTAGGAGAGGGGTATGACAACTTGCAAGCAGACCTAGATAAAACACTATTTTAATAGCGAATATTTTATTTTATATCCTACGTAGACTTTTGAAAATATTTTTATTTAACAAGTGTCTCGTGTCTTCGTGTCCACTTTTGCAAGAATTTCGTTGGCTTCCGAATTTCACGAAATTGAATCGTACATTACTGAACGTGACAGCTCTCGAACGAGTCACTTAGAAATATCAATATTCTGCCAACGATTCCACGCACTTCGATTTTAAAATATGTTATGATTGATATTCCACATATCAATCTATGGCGCCCATTTTATTATGCACAGTCCGATGCATTAAATATGCGTAATACTTTGAATGCATTCGACATTTAAATCGAACGTGGGAAATATTGGTTGCATGCGCCAGAATTTAATAACTCGCCATTGCATTAATATGACGACTATAAACTTGTTAAGAAAGGAAAGGAATAGTTAACGTTGATGGTTAATTTTATAATTTTTATCGGTATCGAGTGTAATGGATTCCCCATTGTTGCTCCCGGCGCCAAAATGCCCAGTCATGGCGCTGATTAACAAGATACGTGCAAGTATCTTTGTCCAAGTCGATCAATTAACAGCTAATTCGTATTGCAATGGCGGTAGAGCAATTTGTTATCAGCGGTATCTCTCATTATCGATGAATCACCAGCAGATTGCCTCTGTACGGGACCAGAGAGAAATTCAAAACCGCGAAAACGATAAAGAAAGAGAGAGGATAGAAGGAAGCAGTTGTATACCCGGAAGAAAAGAGGATTGACATTTATCCGCACGCTGAATCTTAAACCTTCCTCAAGGATCTTCCGCCTTCTATCTCTTCAGCCAAAACGAAAGCGTACTTGATTCAAGTTTCACGCTTTTAACGCCATTTTTATTTTTTTGAATTAACGTCGAATTGAAATTATTGACGGAACACGGAACAGGAATTTATCGATAGGAAATAAATTTATTCTTACAAAAAACAACCACTGAAAGACTAATTACGAAACCTTTAATAACATGGGTATAAAATATTGGAGATTATAAAAACTAAAGATGATTTATTAGCACTATTAAAGAAATTGTTGGGGAGTTTTCGATTTCAATTACATCTTGATAGCATTTCCGGTAGTAATAGTTATGTGATCGAAACTTTGGCAAGGTTGATTCCTCCTCAGGAATGAATCGCAGCCAGTTTCTAAACTAAACTGTAATAAACGGAAAGAGAAACTTACGTATCAATGTTTACAATTTATCTTGATAAGAAGTGTTGACGTTGAGGCCACAAGAAACGTTTTTATTAAAAGTAGTCAAGATTAAATCACGTTTCTCGGAGCATAAGTAGAACTAGAATATAGTTTATCGTCCGTGAGATCTTCCAGAATCTACAGAAATGTACAAAAAGTCGATCGACATCGTTTCGAGCATAATCTTTCTAATGTAATTACTTCACTGTTCGTATCAACTTCCCAACATTTATGAATTTTTGGCGCTCACGCAAAGGTCGTAATATAATTTCGTTTTAACCTCGGCTATCGTGTCACGATGATAAAAGTATTATAGATAAACACAGTTCGTGTTTAACTTTTACTTTACTATCGAAAGCTATACTCCTTGCAACATTTATCGAAACCTGAAATGCATTTAAAAACGTAGATTTAAAAAAGAGGTATACGTTCGTATTTATTACATCAAAATTTAAAAATATTCAATGTCGTTTCCTTGTTTTCGTTTCAGACTCGATTTTAGAATACACGTCGCACGTTTGTGTGTATATCGTGTACATGCACGGGTCGATTGTAGTCGTGAACGTACGTAGTCATCGACGTAAACTCGTTAGAGAGGATTTTATACGCTCGCAATAATTGTTAAAAGGTCAGGAGGCGGCGTTTGCCGGAGAACGATCATTCGAGCGGTTTCTTGCATTCAGCGCAACTTCCGGCTCGACTTCCTCCTTTCGTCGACTGGTCGCGACCTCCAAGTCGGAAATATCCATCTTGGATAATCGATGGATCACGGCTATGGCTTCGTCCACTCAATTTCGTCCCATTTTTCTTTTATAGATTCGATTTTTTAATGGGAGTCCAAATAGTTGCGGCGTCGCAATATTAGGATGATTTTGATTGGGAAGGGTTCTATCAAACTTACAAAATCGGACGTGAAAATGAGCCCAGACGAATTTGTTTTTCCCCAACAAATTCGTCATCTACATAGTGTATATGACTAACCTAATCGCTATGAGTAATACCTATTTCTATGGGGGTCCTATGGCTATGACGGTAGAAGAAACGATCTGCAAATAATTGGTAGGTTTGGTAGGTGGACCGCGTCGAAACGAAAAAGATCGAGATTCTTGTTATTCCCCTCCCCCTCCCCCTTTCCGTTCTTTCTTTCCTCCCCCACTCCGTGGACGGTACACGTGGCGGGCTTCCTGGTGCGAGGACAAAAGCACATCGACCTTCGCATACTGAGATCTTTAACCTTTTACCTCCTCTGATAACGTGTTTCTACGAACTCGCGCTCGTCGACGGTAGAACAATTTGATTATCGGCGTTAACCCCTTGGCACTCTGTTCAAAAATCGTAGACACGAAGCACACGCAATTTAGGAAGATAGATACGTGTACGAGGAATATTGTTTACTGAAATGAACCTTTTTTATCTCTGTGATCCAGCCACGCGTTTTCCTATTATTAGGTTGTGTAACCGTAGCCCGTGACTACGGCGTTATTTTTTATTATTCAATTCGACCGCGTAACTGGACGATCGATAATAAAATATAAGGTACATATTCCCAAGCATTTCTAGGACATCCTGAGAGACTTTTCACGGTGATAGGAAGTTATTCTTCCGAAGATTGCTCTCTCGCGAGAACCGAGGGATTAAAAGAAATGGAGAGAACGGAAACAGTCTAGAGGTCGATGGAAATAAGTTATGTAAATCAGCGTTTCCTGTTGGCTTTCATTCTTACACCTCTCCGTTCTATGCTAATAATCTTTCCTCTTTCCTAAGCTGTCATACCACGTCGCAACGCGCCTATTCAACGACGCTTTTCATATATCTTGCAACCGTACGCACGATTCGAGTACTTTCTTCTTTATTTTCACTCGATAGTAAATATTGAACTTGGATGGATCCTCCGCGGTTTCTAAATTCAAATCAAACAAGAAAGTGGATAGGATTTCGGGGGTTCGAAGAACGAGAATTATCGCATGGACGATCGTTAAATGTTAAAGTGTTGCGTTTCTTTCGTTTCAGAAACGAGAGACTAGAACGTGGAGCATATTATGAAATTGTTGCCGACGATCCAGCTGCCGCAATTGCCACCGGTTTCGACCGGGGGTGGAATGACGGGGATGGACTCTCGGCTACCACCAGGTATATCTTTGCCTTTCAGCCCCACGGAGCTGCTCTGGCGATACGGTCCAGCCATGAATTTTCCACCCACTCACCCACCGCCAACTCCTTTCCTCGACTTCAAGACTCATCTGCCAGCGAGCCTAGGTAAGATCAGACACCTGTTCTAAGATTTTGTCTGCAAAGGTCCTTCGAACAACGTTGTAACGAGAATGGTGTGTTCCACAGCGTCCGACCCGCGATTGTGGTCCCGCGATGACGTGGCGACGTTTCTCCGGTGGGCTGAACGTGAATTCGACCTGCCCCAATTCGACATGGACATGTTCCAAATGAACGGGAAGGCTCTGTGCCTGTTGACAAAAGCTGACCTGGGGGAAAGATGCCCAGGCGCGGGCGACGTGTTGCACAACGTGCTTTCGATGTTGGCCAGAGACTTTAATCAGCTACAAAGGTGCCTTCCAAGTAGTCCGGTGACACCTACCAGGCCCTCCGCGTATCCTCTCAGCCCTCATTCCCATCCCCCCACTCCGACCTGGACGGAGAACCCGTATACCGCGAATTTGGCCTCGTTAATGTCCGCGAATTCGGTGACATTATCTCCCGCGCCGTCGGTGGACAGCCAAGCTGGCTCCCCAGGACACACAGAGGGAACTCAAAGTCAGGTTTACAAGAGCGATTCGGACGAGGATAATCAACAAGCGGCTACCGGAAGCCCGCCAGCCACGCCAACCGCTTTAGCAGCGCAAAGGCTAAGCGAAGTTTGCGTTAAGGATCAACCGAGTCCCACGCTAGCACAGCCAATGATGCCTCTGACGCCCGGTGCCTTCAGGACGAATCCTGCAAACGCTGCAAGGGAATTTTTTCCCAACGATTCGCCCGAACCAAACACAAGTAAGCTTTCAAGCATTAACATTAACCCCTTAACGCTCATATTTTTCAGGTTGACCAAGAACGATCGGTTTTCTTCATTGGATTTGTTTCTAAGCTATATAGAAATGCGATTTTTCTTAATTACAATGCAATTTTTTCTAGACATTTTTTCGGCAAAATTAAAAAATTTCAAATCGGTCTGGAAAAAATATTTTTGGCTGCAGGGGTCAATCACAATCATTTTTGGTGAATAGACATACCCTTGAAATCCTAACCATTTTCGAGAAAAAAATTCCGGAAGGTGCCTAATTTTTCGACGAAAAAAAAAATTTCAAATCGTTCTAAAAAAAATATTTTACGCTAAAAGAGTTAATTACAATCATTTTTTGTGAATAGACATACCCTCGAAATCCTATCCACTTTCGAGAAAAAAATTCGAGAAGGTGCCTAATTTTTCGACGAAAAAAAAAATTCCAAATCGTTCTAAAAAAAATATTTTCAGATAGGAGAGTTAATTACAATCATTTTCAGTGAATAGACATACCCTCGAAATCCTATCCACTTTCGAGAAAAAAATTCCAGAAGGTGCCCAATTTTTCGACGAAAAAAAAAATTTCCAATCGTTCTAAAAAAAATATTTTAAGCTAGGAGAGTTAATTAGAATCATTTTTTGTGAATAGACATAGCCTCGAAATCCTACCCACTTTCGAGAAAAAAATTCGAGAAGATATGAAATTTTTCGACGAAAAAAAAAATTTCCAATCTTTCTAAAAAAAATATTTTAAGCTAGGAGAGTTAATTACAATCATTTTTTGTGAATAGACATACCCTCGAAATCCTATCCACTTTCGAGAAAAAAATTCGAGAAGCTATGAAATTTTTCGACGAAAAAACAAATTTCAAATCATTCTAAAAAAATATTTTACGCTAGGAGAGTTAATTACAATCATTTTTTGTAAATAGACATACCCTCGAAATCCTAACCATTTTTGAGAAAAAAATTCCAGAAGGTGCCTAATTTTTCGACGAAAAAAAAAATTTCCAATCGTTCTAAAAAAAATATTTTTAGATAGGAGAGTTAATTACAATCATTTGCGGTGAATAGACATACCCCCGAAATCCTACTCAGTTTCGAGAAAAAAATTCGAGAAAGCCATAAAAGTTTTGGGCGAATAAAAAGAATTTCGAATCGTATTCGATCAATTATTAGGGGAAAGAATGAATGAAAAATAAGTGTTGTATGGGTCCAAAAAGAAGGACTGTTTTAACTTGTTCGTAAGCTTATATAATCGAGCAAATATTTATCGTAAATAATTTAAAAATGTTTTTTTTTGCTTTGTTGCAGATGGTAGACTTTTGTGGGATTTTCTTCAACAACTTTTAAACGACCCCTCGCAACGATACACACATTATATCGCGTGGAAAAGCCGGGAAACAGGTGTGTTTAAAATTGTTGACCCTCCCGGGCTGGCGAGGCTTTGGGGCATTCAAAAGAATCATCTTTCCATGAATTACGACAAAATGAGTAGAGCCCTTCGATACTACTACCGTGTAAATATTCTGCGAAAGGTCCAAGGAGAACGGCACTGTTACCAGTAAGTTTCTACACCGCCATTGTTTTACTTAGCCATTAGTTTGTTGTATTAAATAATGAAAGATTTATTTACGCTTTTTATTCTTGAAAAAAAACGATTCCAAACATTGATCGAAGTCACAAAATGATTGACACCTAACATAACATGAAGCATAACATGGTTATGCTTAAATTTAGTCTGTAGAAGGCATTCGAGGACATTGGATCGCTAAATTTTAAGTACTTTGTATCGAATACCGTGGAAAGTAATGACTGCACGAGTTCTAGAAAAGAAATAGGGCTTATGGGGGATTCCCCGCTTATGGGGAATGCGTTTTATCGGCTCGTACGCGCAGAAAATGGCTCTGATCGTTTCCGCGAAGGAAATTTTAATCTTGAACCTCCAGAGTCGAGGCGGACGAAGACAGAATTCGTAATCCGATGGATGAAACAAGGCAAGAAATGTCGCAGATCCGAAGCATACCAAAGTCGAGCATCCGCAGACGACACTATCCACTATGGCGACAAACATAACACGGTACCATAGCTCGAATCGAGTTTCGTTTGTGACGACACAAATTTAGGAAATTCTATACTTTCGAGGGGAAAAGAATATTTTTAAATTACAATTGCTGGTTGTACGTATCAATAAAGACTGTCGTAAAAGCGTAAATAAACCTTCTACCCTTCGCATTCCCATCGCTTGCCGCGTTCGCCAATAATTTTATAAATTGGTCGTCAGAGAGAGAATTGGTTTTAAACATAAGTAATTTCTTTGTGCACAGGTTTCTGCGAAACCCGACAGAGCTAAAGAACATAAAGAACATATCTCTGCTGCGTCAGCAAATGCGGATAAAGTCAGAGCCGGAAGAAGAAGGAGGAAGTGGCGCCGAGCCGGAAATCGATATGCCGACGGACCTCTCGATGTCCAGCATGAGTCAGCCATCAAACGAGCAACAACAGCAACAGCAGCAACCTCTACCTCTTCACGATCCGCCTACGAAGTATAGAAGTCACGCGTACAATCTCGTTAAAACCAACCAGGAGTCGGAGGAGAGGAAGTGACGCGAAACGTAGTGCTGATTCGATTGCACGTTTTGAATGCTAGCAAGTGTCGACAGGCGTGTTACGCACTTTGAAAATACGTTTCGAACAGATCCGTTCCCGGGGAAGCGTATTGGAAAAAGCTTCACAGGACGAAAAGTTTCTTTCGAACGTCCCTCGCTGCCAACAAAAATTGTTTTCTAGGGACACTCGGTGTTGTTCGGGAGTCACGTGATCACGACCGGACGGACACGAGAAGAGATTGGTCCACGCGCTTGAAACCACTGGATGAACGATATCTTTGGGGCGATAAAAGATTAAAAGAAAAAAGAAAAAAAAAAAGACTGACGAGAAGAAAGAGTAAGGATCGACTTACGCAAGCGCCAAGAGGAAGAGATTCGACGCTAACAGGTAAACACGCCTTCAACCGCGTCTCGTCGACGATCGAAAGCTTTTTTGTTGTTCGATTCTAAAGGGCGCTCGTTAAGATTGCATTTTACAATGACATTCGATTTTTAACCGATCTTGAATCGGCTCGAGGATCGGTTTCCGTTCGCTTCGAGCCGCGGGATGATCGACAGACTCTCGCTGAGAGCGGCAAGGGTCGATCGTCGTGCTGGAAATTACACAGGACGCTTCGGTGAAGCTGAACATTCGCGGATATTCCGCTGTTTTTCATCCCCTCGTGTTGAAAACACGTGTGCGAGTGTGAAACGATTTTTCGCTTCTACAACGAACTACTTTAGAAAGGCGTATAAAAAGCGTTTATCGACGAACGTACAAAAACGGTGTTCGGGAAACGATCGAGGTATTTTATTCCAAAGTTATTCTGTGATGTAAAGTTTAGCTTGAAAGTAAATTTTTCCGGAGTGAACTATACTTAGTTATAACTAGAGATTGAATTTATTGAAAGTTTTTTTTATTTGAAAAGAGAAAAAAAGAACGGAAAAGGAAGAGGGAAACTGTTATTAAAAAAAAAAACGTCTTTGCGTAAAGTTTAAAAAGATTGATGTAATATAAACTAACGGGAGAGAAAAATAATAAGCAATCCTACTTCGATCTTTAAGGGGGATATTCTTTCGTTGTAAGAGAGATGATGATCTTATCCTGTGAATACCTGGATTCGAGAAAACTTCAGAACCAATTTCCCGTTGCGCCACCTCAGTTGTGCCAATCCGAATCGTCGATAATTTATGTATAAGTATACGTTTAGTCGAATATGTTCTATAAAGAAAACGCGCAAGTAAAATGTGTCATCGTGTTAGAACTCTCAAAAAAGGACATTAAAGATCGTATCCCTAAATCGTAAATATCTATAAATAAATTGACAAACTATAAAAAAAAAAAGTCTAGTGAAAAAAAAACGAGAAAGAGTTTTATGGAATTCGGGGCCAGAGTTATATATATACATATACATATATGTGTATGTATCTATATATATATACAGGGTGTTCGCGTTGCTAGTTTGCAGCAATTTTCTCGTAAGTGGCAAATTAAAGAAAAAAAAATAATGGAAAATGTAAAAGGTTCATTGTAGGTCGTTACTTTCTTTTTTTTTAATCGATATTCTTGTTTGTTTGAATACCTCGCGATAGCAGTGACCTAGACGAATTCAACGACCTGTTACACGATAAGGTTTAACGATTGAAAAGTGCAGAAACGAGCAGAGAACATCGAAGAGTTCGTAACGCTATGTATTTAATATAATTAATGATGATAGAGACCTATTAACGCCCCCCTTAACACGAAACTCGTTGAACCCTTATTCCTGATGCATTGAATCACATGTTTGGCGTTTTCTTTGTCTTCTCTGTCGGTGTATAGTGAAAATTGTTCTTTCCAAAGTCTGCTGGTTACGATAAAAACGCTTGGGGACTGATAACGCGAACACCCTACACGCACCATACACACGTACACACACTTACGCACACACACACTTACACACACATATATATTTTTTACTACTGAAAGAAATTTATATGCGATATTTCTATGTTCGTTGTCGATGCGATTGTGGCTCACATTCCTCGCCAACAGACCCTAGATTTTCAAGAGAAAAAGCAAAAAAAGGAAACGTGACTAGGGACCGAAGGCGCGTGTACGATTAGAGACAAGCCTTAAGATCGTATTTTTGCATAAGACTTGAAAGCATAAAAGGTGAAAAAAATGTATGAAAGCGTTGCTAACGTGTGAACGGGTGTACGTGTGTATGTGCGCGCGCGCGAGAGAGAGAGAAAGAGGATTAAATTGTAAAAATGGAAAATTGTATTACGAGAGATTTATTAATGTAAAAAATTTTGTACGATAAGTTGCGGATGACCGAAACGAAATTAGGTCCTCGCCGTTTTAGTAATTTGGGAAAGGTCAAGCTTTCGATCCACAGATGGATCATTTTTTTTTTTTTTTTTTATCTCAGGCTGTGGCCGGGGTACGCATATACCGTCCGACGAGGAGAAATGAACGGAATACACCGAGAGTGAGCGAGATAAGAGCAACAACGAGCGAGTCGCGAATTTGTTTGGGTTCAATGACTCGCGGTCGAGACCTAAAAAACAGTGCCCATTCGCTGATGGAAATTATAATTTCTATACTTTTCATTATATTCTCACTGGAACAACCAAGACACGCCAGCCTGTGATCCATGCGAACGGATCAGTAACCGTACTTCCGGATAACGTCCAAAAAACTCTGTCTTACAAGGGACGATCCTCGATTCAAGAAATTTTAAACAATTTTGTTTCTTTTTTTTGTTGTTGCGAATACACACTGTAGCGGGTGGAAACCCTCGAGTATTCAGCTATTTTTGAACGAGGGTACAGTGTCTGCGGAATAATTTTTTATTGCTTCATTTTGGTAATTTTTCCAATTGGTCAAAGTTTCTATTGTCTGGTCTGAATTTAAAGTTTAACATGCCTCGATGATCCTACCAAACGCATATAAATATTTTACAAGACCGTAAACCTAACTTGGGATATCGCTGTGGTGGTTCTTATTTAACACTCTGAAGACGGATAGTTTGGGATGAACGCAATAGACGAATGCAGTACAATACCGGTGCAAGCGACAAGGGGGCGATTCTATGAAAAAAGTCGAAAATAAATGGAACGCCAAAAGAATGAAATAAAATTTGTTCGTATGCTTCGAAAATATTTTATTTTTCATTTTCAATTTATCTGTTAATATGGAATCATCCCCCTTCTCGGTTCTACTATCGATACTGGGGACAATCTGTACATAGGAAGGCTGTTGCCGAACGTAAACTGAATCGCTGACTTCGTGGAATACTTGAAGAATCCCATAAATTTGTCGATAGATGTACAAAGTTATCGAAAACAAAATATATTTGTATCTACTCGAAAGATCGATGAAAAACCCTCACTAGTCATTGAATAAAGAATATGACAACAGCTACAGCTGGGTCAAAATGGCCGCTGTACGAGGGTTAACAGTCCTGGTGTGAAACCCGTACTTCGATACCACCCTCATTCCCCCTCCCCTTAATCACTATAATTGTTAAAAATATTAGACATCAACCGAACCGATAAATTTTGTTTTTCTCCTCGTATGAATTTTATTCTCGACACGAACTTAAGGGATGATACATACGCCCTATATATCCCCAAAGTTTCCGAACTTTTTGGATCATTTTGGCTTGGGGATCATCCCTTGTAGAATTATTTTTAATTGTACGTTGTTCGAATCGGTTCTAAATATCTTCGAGTTGCATATGATTAAAAATAATCTACAAATACCGAATGTGTGGATTAGAAATACCCGAGTATTTCTAATTGTGAAAAAAACCTGAAAATTCCCTGTTAAAACACACAAATCATCTTCAAGTTCGTTGAAGGAATTACAGGCATCGTTCGTAACGCGTTAACGCGTCTATTACACGGCATTCTTACAACACAGTTTATTTCTAACACGACCCAAAGATTTGGGAAATCCGATAAAACAAGCCACGGTCTGTTTTTATAAACCAGTATTTTTTAGAAATATAATAGTCGTCGAGTGACTTGTTTCGTCCAAGTGATACTAAAAACTAAGATAAAAAGCACCGATACGTCGCAATCTCTTTAGAGGATCGATTATTTATCACCGGTAGTGATCTATAAAACTCGTAAAGATCCGACAAGAACGCGATTTTTTTCATCGATCGGCCACCGAGGCCTTTCGAAACTACCGTGTTGTATGAGGGGTAGCTGTATTTCAAAATAAAAGCGTATGTTATAAAAAAGATTTTATTACACACTATTCTTAATACTATTTTATTAAAAAAGAGGAAATAAACAATTACAAAACTAGCCCGTTAAGATATTTGTTCTTAATGCGATTGGAAAAATACGATGTCGTCTGCGATCACGGCTGTACTGGATTTTGTTTCGCCGTCTTCGTCTTTAAATTCACCATAGCTTACTTTTCCAACAACTAATACTCTTTGACCTTTTTTAAGATACTTGGACACGCTATCGCGAAGATTTGGTTTGAAAATACATATTTTATGCCACTCCGTTCGTTGCATAAAATCCCCTGAAATTTGTTTAATCTTAATTAAAAGAATTTTAATTTACATTTGACGATCTAACACGAACATTCAACTACAGAATCAGCAATAAATCTGCGTCACCCTTGGAATAAACTTTAATGGGAGATTCTAGGGGCCAAAATAAGACGAGAATGAAGAATACCAATTTGTTGATCGAGGCTTCGTTAAAAAGTTATTAACGTTTAAAGTTCCGCCTGTAGAACGGCAATCTGCGAACAGCGCGATAGTGATTCTCATTCAGAGAACTATAAGGCTGTCGATACGTTACTAACTAGAGTTTCTTATACCGAATGAGAACCACTATCGCGCGTACGCAGATGTACGCAGGTTGCCTATCTACAGGCGCAACTATAAACGTTAATAACTTTTTAACGAAGCCTCGATCAACAAATTTTTCCCAGGTGTGACCAAACACCCTGTATGCAAATTACACTTTTCAAAAGTGGAATCTATAAGTTTTAGCCGCTTATATCTTCTAGAATACCAAGTTTTAAATTACAAAATAGTGGCTCAAGGAATCTGCATGTTTTGCAACTATCCAGTGCAACTTACCATTCGAGTATTTGTAATTACTGTGTGTAGCAAGCGAGAACATAACAACCGGATGGTCTACAGAACCCCTTTTTTGTGGATCATTCCCGGATCTTCCCAACAGAGTTATTTGATTTATTGCTGTAAATCAAGGAATTCATAACACTATTTGATTGCACATTAATTGGAACCAATTCTTCATTATTTGAAATCTATGCTATAACTTTGTCTCTAGTAATACATAGTACTATATCTTTAATTTTCATAACAAGTAAAAAATGGTATGGTATACGATGACTTCTTTACTGTACCTACTAAAAGATAAATGAATGTAAAGGTCCACTTAAAAAACTCAAAGTAACCTTAGAAATGATTTAATATAACATAAATATTTTAAGCAATCATTCAAGAATGAAAATAATGAAGGTGATCAAGTTATACAATTTACCTTATACAAAAAAATAGCAATTAATAAAGATGATCAATAAGAACATGCTTATGCTATCATAGAAAAAAAATAGTACTTTTTCATAAAAATAAAGATACAAATGACACAGAATGATCACAGTGTTATACCATCAAAGATTATTAAACAATACTAAAAATCAAAATATATTTCACTTACTTTTCTCTAATTTTAGCTCAGGGGTAACAGTACACATTTGCATTTTATTAACTTGTGAAATGCTTTGCATCATTTTCGGTATAACCTGCAAAGTAACAAAGTACTTTTAAGTAAGCACATAATGTGACTTAATAAACTTCATTTTAGGCAACATTTGATTCAACTTACTTGTCGAAACATTTTCCTTCAATTTATAATATTACAAATTATTAATTAAACAACAATTAGCACTTATTTACTTCATCAAACAACTAATAACTAAAAACTACACGTGCTAGCCAGAGTGCCCAAACCAAATGTGCGCGAGAAGCCGATAGTTTTTCACGCATGCGCTGCGAACACTGTATAACTACATCTGGAGATAGGTATTTTTTAATAATTCAAATAAATATTATAAAAACAATAAGTTTATTTATTTAAAAAATAATAATAATTAATTAAAGCATTATTTTGAAGATTGCTGTGAAAATCTCAGCTTCAAAATGATTCGAAATTTGTAGAACTATGAAACGTATACAATTTTATAAGTGTTCTTTTTGTGTTTCTTCAAAATATAACCCAAACCTAATTCAGATCATTAGTTTTTAACCGTACATCAAATCATATTTTCGTTCTTAATTGGAAATGCAGCGAACCAATGGCATTGATTCTCAATCACGTGGTTTTGTGTACCTTGGTTCTTCTTTACTAGGAATGGAAACATAAGATTCGACAAACGGTTTAAAAACCCAATGGCCCGCGTTAAGTTTCGTATATATTCAAAGTAAACGTCGTAAATAAATCGCTATACGTCGATCTTTTACATTTTACGTTAGTGGAACAAAATTTTACCTGCTTTGGTTAATGACATTCCATCCTAACGACAAGAATTATTAAACAAGAAGTACACTTCCACCGAATACATACATTTACTACGTTCACGCTTCGACTGTTATTTTTGAACGAAAATCCTAGGTATGCTAGTAACTTATTACATAGTACTACATTCTCTAGAAACAAATTGCGCGTTCGAATACTAAATTTTTTAAAAGATTGTTACTGTTTTCTCTTTATTACGTGTTTCGATCTTGGCGCCGAAGAACATACAAAAAATGAAGAACATACAAAAAAGTTAAGCATCATAAACAGTATACATATTCGTAATACATTATCTATAATAGCTGTAATTACAAATGTATCAATAGATTTGTCTATTAATTGATTGTTGATGAAAACGATTTAGTTGGGGAGGAATATGTTAATTATAAGTATGGTCGCAGTGGAGCTGGCAGAGGTTTCTATTCTGCTTTGTTTCCAGAGCGTTTGGTGGACCTTAGATGAGAGCGATCGTGAGGAATCGTGAGATCTTGCCGTGTTCTCGCGGGGTCACGTGACTCGCGCTCAGACAGTTATTTTTTTAGGCATGATGGCGCCAAACAGCAGTATCCACATTAATGTAAATATAATATCGATTCGGTGCACCGCGCGAGGAAGAAAGCTATCGGGTGTCCTTACGGAGGCTATTTGAGGGCGTCGAGCGAGCTCGGCAGGAGCCCTCGGCCCACGAAGTGAGTAAAACCGAGCTAGTCGCGGCTGCGACTCGAATTGCTAATGAGGACATCTTGGTTAGGCTGCCGTGACAGAGGCGTACTCGGACTACTGCCATCTCGGAGTTACCGATCGAAGAATAATTCGATCCTTACGGATCAGACGTACCGGCTATTATTCGTCACGTGCATCATCGCGCGCGAAATCACCCTCTCCGTCGATAGATCAATAATAAGGCATTTACTGCCTTCCGACCATCTCTATCTTTGTCTCTCTCTTTCGTTCTTGCTCTCTGTTGCGCGCGCGTGCGTGTTCATGTTTGCGTGTGCGTGTCGAACTTGTGCTCGCGTGTTCGTATCCACGTCGTGTGCGTGTGTATTCACGTTCGTGCGTATCTGTGTATTCACGTCGCGTGTGCGTATTTACTTACACTCGTGTGCATGTGCGTTCGAATCCACATACGTGTGCGTTCAGATGTGTATACGTGCGTGTCGAGATTCGTGTGCGAGTCGAACCTGTCGCCATCTGTATTGTCAATGTTGTCGGCCAGCAGGAGCACCACCAGCCCAATGGACCCGTGAGCATTTTCGACTCTCCGCCCGATCTTCTTCTAGACGTCTATTCTCGACCGCGAGTCTCGACTTCCACGTGTCGAGTCATCGAAAGTCTTACGGCGATCCTTCACGGTCGAGCCTCGGCGCCGCTCGAGCGTCGCCGCGGAGTAACTCCGTCGCAATGTTTACATGCCACCCGCCACGGCGACCAGTTTATCGAAGATCCTTGTGTTTTTTCAACTACTCTGGGCCTTATAACGTTACGGATAAACGATTTCATTTCAATTATAACTCTTCCTGCTGGACTGCCCCATTTATAACCTCTCCGCGGCGGCCATCGAGGATCAACGGCCGCAGACCCCCTGCAATACAATCGGTCTATACCATCAACCCTTTTGTCCGATTTGTATGCTCTCAAACGTCTTTTCCGTCGTTAGAAACCTTATACAAAGTTTTTAGTGTTATAGTACTTATCAGATTTGTGAATTTGTGTTACTTCATACTTCTTACCTCGAGTGCTACCTTTGTAAATCTATCTTGCGAAGAAATGCTTTGTGTCCTACGCTTGTGATTACTGTGTAATACCAATTGCTATGTATATTTAATATTTTATTTATGTGTAATAGTATTTGCATTCGGTTCTATCATTTCGTACAGTACGCATCGTGGAAAACACCACCGAATTGTTGCATTCCACCTGTTTTTTTTTCTATGCAGTTAGTGTTATATGTTCCTGCTATGGTTACACATCATATTTAATGTTTACATCTGTTGTTTTCCAATCGTTTTCTTGCGAACAATTATTCATTTTTATTTATCCGATACAATGTATTAATTGTTTTGTTATCTTTTCAATTTCAATGTGTTCCAAATATCATACAGCATGGATGCTTCGTTTCATGTAATATTTCTATTAAATTAATATAATATTCCACAAGTAGTTCTTTATATATAAAAAAAACAATCGATTTTGTACAGTGAATCACTTACAGTGCAGAGACAAAGTTATTATTTGTTTGAATATACTTCAAACTAAGATTTATCTTGTTTCGAATCGAACAGAATTGTAACTCTATCTTTCTTGTTACAGCTCCGAGAGGAATCCGCTTTCTAGATAATAAATACATGGACGACTATGTAGTGAGTAGTTAAATACATGTTTTTTTTTTTTTGTTTTTTAATCTCCTTTTATTATTTACTTAATTGAAAACAATAAAATCTTTTAGGGTGCGCACGGCTCACCTGCACGTGCCACGTACTGCTAGCTCACTTGGTATAGTAGAATGGCACAGCGAGGCAAACGCATAAACAGAAACGACAATGATTTGGCGTCTTGCCCAGGCGCAATCAAAAGGCGCAAATGTAGGCTGGGTCCAGCGACGGGTTCGTCGTCGCTGGCAGCTACCATGGGGCCCTCAGAAGAGGAGGAGACGATGGCGTCGTCCAGTCAAGGAGGGGCATCCTGGACCCCCAGACCTCTTAGTGATATCAAAATCTCTAGTATATACAATCGCTCCTCTGCTGAGGCTCCTGCAGAATTGTTTCGTAAGGATTTGATCAGCGCAATGAAATTACCTGACAGCGAGCCACTAAGTCCCAATGAATATTGGGTTATTACTGATCAGTGGAAGCAAGAATGGGAGAGAGGTGTTCAAGTACCTGTCAACCCAGATTCCCTTCCTGAACCAACAGTCACTATTACACAGGCAGCACCCGTTAAACAGCACAGTGAATTCAAACTGTAAGTTTCTTATCAAATTTAATTTCCCTTAAAATAGGTTTAAACAAAACGTACTTGAAATTTTGGTTTTAGAAGTCTTAAATAAATTTGTTCATTAGTAAGAGCTAATGGAATCTCAATTGTATATCACAGAAATGTATTGACATTAATAATGATCCAATAATTACAATGTTATAAGAACTAGGTCAGTAGTATAGAAAGCATAAACAGAAGTAATATAAGTTTTTTGAAATCGTTATTTGTATTTCTCAATCTTTATCAATGGATGAAAGATGTTGCTCCAGTTTATTTGTTGGGCTAGTTCTAATTATTTTCTTTTGTAATGATACTTCCATAGACCTAAGAAATTCGTAAGGATATCTCGCGATGATTACTTCAGTTCGGAAGACCATCATTTAAGCACAACACCGGCACGGGCAGAGAAAGCTTGTGCTTATGATCTTGATGATACTGATATTGCTTGGTTGGATGTATTAAACGGCGAACGTGCACAGGTACATTACAAGTTCAATAGTTAAAATTTTCTAATAGAGCTAAATAAAGTAATTGATGTTAAGTTAAATCGGTATAATTTAATGTTAAACGATTATATTTTAGTCTGGTCAGTTGCCAATCACGGAATCACAACTGGAACGTGTAATAGAGGAACTGGAAGTTCGTTGTTGGGAAAGAATACAAACTATTGTAAAAAATGAGGAAGGTCTAGGTATCGAGTATGACGAGAATGTAATCTGTGACGTCTGTAGATCTGTAAGTGTATTGTATTGTAACTAGATTGATCTTACTTTTGTGTATTTCTACATAATCCAAGAAAAAAAATTTTTTCATTAGCCTGACTCTGAGGAGGGGAATGAAATGGTATTTTGCGATTGCTGCAACATATGCGTGCATCAAGCGTGTTATGGAATTACTTCGATACCAGATGGTTCCTGGCTATGCAGAACTTGTTCTTTAAGTCAACGACCAGATTGTGTTCTGTGTCCTAACAAAGGTGGTGCTATGAAGTGTACTCGCAGTGGTCAAAAGTGGGCTCATGTGTCTTGTGCTTTGTGGATCCCGGAAGTTAGCATCGGATGTGTCGAAAGAATGGAACCTATTACTAAAATATCCAGCATTCCGGTACATGCACTAATACAAGTTTGCTACATAAAGTTAGAGATATAAACACGATATGTATTAAAATTTCCATAATAAAACTTTAATTATAGCAAAGTCGATGGGCCCTGATATGTGTATTGTGCCGAGAAAGGGTCGGTGCTTGCATCCAGTGCAGTATAAAGACATGTAAGACGGCTTATCACGTGACGTGTGCCTTCAAGTATGGCTTGGAAATGAAGGCAATCATCGAAGATGAAATGGCCGACGATGGAGTAAAACTAAGGGTATTTTGAACTTGTTTAAAGCATTATTGAAACAAATTAAATGTTTTAACAATGTCAGTGTAAGCAAAAAGGAGAAACTAACATATTTTCGAATGTGTATCTCTTTAAATTCTGTAGATAATAATTATTGAGAGAAATTGAAAAGACGCTAGACTGTACATAAAGAAAATCATATAATTTAAATATGAAACCTATTGTTTTTCGAAATTTTTTTAGAAAGAAAATGTAAAAATTCAATTTACAGTCCTACTGCCAGAAACATAGTAGAACAAATACAAAAGATAAAGTTCAAGGCGCAGGAGGCAGTATAGGAAGCGGGGCTGACAAGGCAGGCTCAGACTCTGAAGATGCAGAATCCAGAAGGCGCAAGAGGAAAGATATGACTTCCGAGGAGAAAAATCAAGCTCGTGCTGCGAAGTACGCATATTCATATTTCTACATATTTTACTATTTATTGTGCACTCTATATTAGTGAGGGAAAATATTATTTTCGTTATTAGATTGCAAGAAATCGAAGCAGAATTTGACAAACATGTGAGTTTGAAGGATATTGCTTCACAGCAGTTAGACGTAGATCCTGAAGGCATCATCTACATTTATAATTATTGGAAACTTAAAAGAAGAGTAAGCAATGTTTAAAAGAATAATATATACGGTAATTTATAGATGTTAAAATTTCAAATAATGTTCGATTTCATAGGCTGGCCATAACAAGCCGCTGTTGGCCCCACGTTGTGGAGAACTTTCGGGTAGCGGATCGCGTAATCAGGGACAAGCTGCGGATCTTGAGAAAATGAGGACGTTCGTTCAATTGCGCCAAGATTTGGAGAGGGTTCGAAATCTGTGTTACATGGTCGGCAGAAGGGAAAAACTCTGTCGATCTTTCCTCAGATTACGAGAACAAACCTTTCATAAGCAAGCCTTGGTAATGTCCGGTCCGCCCTTATCGCCAGCTGCGGCCGCAGCTGTAATGGAAGCCAATCACGGACCATCGATCTACGATCGACTGTATTCTCATCCCGACTCGGAGGATCACACACACGACTTTGACACGATCGTTGCTAGAATCGCTGGTATAGATTCGTCGACCAGCGACGAGAAGAAGACGCAACAGCAGCAACAACAACAACAACCGCAACAGCAGCAGCAACAAGACTTTAATGGTGCCTCTAGTAAAAAATTGTACTTCAACGGCTCCGTCCGAAGAAAGAACCTCTACGGTAGTGATTTATCGTCTATCAGTAGCAGCGAGACAGACGCGACGAAGACGAAAATATCGGAAAAGTCGAAGAATTTGAAGCTAGAGAGTGAATCAAGCACGGAAGAGGAAACGAACGTTTCGTCGAAAACAAAGTTGTCGCGTAGAAAAATTAAAAAGACTGCTCAACAAGTAGATAAGTTGCACGCAACGCTTAAAGAAAAAAGTGAAAACGAGAAGCTAGTGAACAGTAGATCGCACACGCTTCAGCACATGGAGAAAGAGTTGGGAAGCGCTTCCGGCAGCGAAAGCGACGAATTGCTTCCGCTCAGTGCCGGGGCGACGAAACACGTTGTTGCGTCTGCCATTTATTCAGACACCGACTCCGATTCTCAGGAACACGCGTCTCATTCAGCAGTGCTGATTACGAAAGCAGCCGTCAAGGAATTTTCCGCGGCGAATTTGTCGAAAAATTCGCAAAAGGGTTTCGGTAAAGATTCCAGGCATACGGAATCAACGTATCACAATACAGGAACGAAAAATAAAGAGAATCAAAGTAAAGGTGGCGCTAAAAAGAAAGAGTATATACCATCCGCGTTAATTGTACCGCAAAGACAGGCTGCGAAAAAAGCATCGGAGATTATGCAACGTACGCAACAAACCAAGAAAGACAATTCAGTACCGGAATCTACGCCAGAAGCAATCAAGTCTCCCGTGGAGGAACTTCCGAAATGTTCTTCGAAGCAATCAAAAGACAAAAGTCCTAGCAAGAAACAGAGAGAAAACAAACCGTCGAAGGAGCCGAAAAATAACGATGTGTACGATTTTGATAAAGAATTCGGAGATGGGACGGAGATATTGGCGTACGTGCCGCAAAGGCAGGCTGCGAAAAAAGCTGCGGAACATATAAAAAGCGGTATGGGCACTAAACCTCCCCAGCAAATCGAACAAGAAACTTTTGATGGTCGGTCGAAAAAGGAGTCTCCGGAGAGTGGTAAAAGAAAGGAACCCAGGAAGGAAGATTCTTCCAGGAAAGAAGAGATTTCTTCGAGGAAGGAAGAAACTTCCTCCCCGTCGTCATCGTCTTCGTGCTATTCTTCGTCCTCTTCGTCCTCTTCTTCGTCTTGTTCCTCCTCTTCCTCGTCGTCGTCTCGAAAGGACGTTTCTTCCGGCAAAGAAGAATTAGTTGCGAAGAAGGAAGAATCCTCGATCAGGAAGGAAGAAGTTCTATCGAAGGACAATCGTTCTAGAAGACCTAGGAAACCGAGCGAGCGAAAGTCGGTGCTCTCGAGTAACAGCGATAGTAACAGTAGTAGTAACAGTTGTAGTAGTTCCACTGGAAGCAGCAGCGATTCCGAGAGTCCAAGACGTAGGAGGCTCTCGAACGAGCTTAAAGACGCTTCTGCTTCCACTACTTCTTCCGAGAGCGAAGCTGGTAACAGAATAAAAACTAAAGCTACAACTGCGACAATTACTGCCACCACTATGAATAGAAAGCAACATTCAAATAAAACGTCACCAGAACGCGAAGCTGACAGGAAACCAATCTCAGGGCGGAAACTCAAGAAGCTGCCTGAGAAGAAGCTTAAAACTTCCGACGGGCGGCGGGGACCAGAGTTTCAGCCGCCTTCTGAGAGAGAGGAACCTCGTAGAACCTCCAAAGATCAGCAGCACCAGCAACAGCAACAGCAACAACAACAAAAAACAACAACAGCAACAGCCGGAGGCAACTGTCAAGAAGCAGGATCAAAGAGACAACAAAAAGCAACAACCAGCAGCAGGAACGGAGACTAATGAGGATCTGCTCGTTGGGTCTGGAGATTATGATGGGTCGAGAGGTGTTTCTGGGACCAGACCTACCAAAAAGTCGAGTCAAGCTACCAAACAACAACAACAACAATCCGTACCTAGAAAAGAGGATAACAAGAACAAGTCTGAGGGTAGAAAACGAAAACCGAACGAATCTGTTGCGAAGGATGAAAAGAAAGAAACGATCAAGAAGCCAGAGAAACGGTTGAACGAGAAACAGTCTGTCAAGGAGGCCGAGAAAAAGGACGAAGAGGAAAGTAGGAAGGACGAAGTGAAGGTTATCAACGTAGAGAAGAGCAACGAATGCACGGAGAGTTCCTCGAAGAACGACGAAAAGAAAGTTAAGAAACTCGTGGGTAAAGACGCGATCAACATTTTGGAAGAGGAGATGAAACAACGCAGAGCGGAGAGAGACAGCCCGAAGAAATCGTCGAGAGGTTTGGACAAGCTTTTGGAAAAACGGGAACACCTGGATAAGATGTCCAAGAATAAGAATTCGGATGTGAAATTGGAGAAGTCTGTTTACGAGGAAGAGAAGGAGGAGAAAGAGCCTGTGGAAGAAATTCAACAGGCAACGGAAAGTATAAAGAACGAAGATCGCAAAATCTATGTTAACAACGAGGATGACACGGCCATCGAGAAACCGAAAGCGGAGGAGCAATTGGAGGAAGAGTTGATAAAGACGGATGTTACCGAGGTGCCGCATCTGGAAAAGAAGAAGACGGATAGAAGCCTGGAAAACACCATCGATACGCAGAGTATGGAGATCAATGTGCCCGCGGAGGAGAATTTTCAGAAAGAAATCATCGAGCAAGATGCCGTCAAGTCGGTCGTGGAGAAAGTTGACAATTCGGAAAAGGAGCATCAGAAGAGACGGAAGTCCTCGAATCGATCTATCTTCTCGCCGCAGCATGGCAAGGATCCAAGCGTGTCGGAACTGTTCGATTTCGATCAGGATATGCTTACGGAAGAAATGGTGAACGAAGACGGATTCGGTATATCGAGAGATCCGGAAGAGCGCGCCGCCCCGTTGAGTTTCTCTTTCAACAACGAGCTGTGGTTCAAAGAGGACTCGAAGGAGGACAGCGCGAGAGAAACCCTGCATCTCGTCGAGAAATTGCGTATGGAGCTCTCGAAGAAATCAAATTCTAGTCAGTTCGAGTTAGAGACAGTACCTGTAGATGGCGAGATAAAGAAGGAAGAACTACCGGCAGAGAAGGTTGCTTTCGAGCAACAACAGTTGCAGCAACAGCAACATCTGCAACAACACAATCAGCAACTAGAGAAAGAGACGAAGATCCTCGAGCCTACGAAACTAATATTGGACGCGAAGAACAACGTTGAGATGCCTGTCGAGGAGGTAGCTATCAACGAAGTCCGTTCCGGTAGCTGTAAAGACACGATCGAGGAGAAGAGGAAAACTTGTTACACGAGCAGCAACGACAGATACACGGTGTACGAGGAGGATCGCGAGGCGAACAAGGTCAGCCTGGTGGAACGATCGAAGCTGGACCGCGCCGAGACCGACGAAAGATGGGTACCGCCGAGCATCAACAGTTTCGAAGCCAGCGACGTGCAACACTTGAACGCTTTAATGGAGACGCAGAATCATCGATACGGCAACCATCAGTTTCCCAACGAGACTGTTCAGGAAAACGAATCTCTCGCGCGTTCCCATCTAAACGCGGCGGCGGCGAGTCTGCAGGAACAGTATCTTCTGCAGCAGCCGCACACGCTGCTTCACGGTCAGCAGGAATCGCACGAAAGGACGATTCTCGATCAGCAGCTCCCCGAGGAGAACCCTATGGAAATGGTGAACAGGCATCTGATCGGTTTGCCGGCTTCGGAGGACGACCAAGCAGCCGAAATGATGGACAGAGTGCTCGATAAAGACGACGACGTCGTCAGGCAGCAGGAATACGATCAAAATTCTCCGTACAACGACGTAAACGGTCGGCCGGACACCAGGTGGGCGGAAAGTCAGGTCCTCCCGTCCCGTAGATCCACATCTTCGTCGATCACTTCCGCCTCTTCCGCGGATGATCATTCCATTCCACCGTACAAGAACGTTCCGAGCATTTCGTTTCCACCGTGTTCGATGGAACCGACGTATTATACGGACGCGAGTTACGGTACCGGTCCGGTGTCCTTGTTTCCGCCTCAATCATGCGCGGCTCCGTTGCCGTACCCCTCGCCAGGACCGGCGCTTTTTCCGCCCGCGTTCGGGGCTGCTTTTCCAGCAACGCAATCGCTGTTGCCGCACGTGAAGCCGCTCGACGACTCGATGAACCTGCAAGCCTCACCGTGCACCGCGGCGTTCACGTCTTCCTCGCACAATATGGCGCTCACCGCGGCTATGGTATCACCTACGAAAATAGCTACACCGCCGCCGCCACCTCCTCCGCCACCGCCGCAGGTCGTCGTCCCACCCGTCGATACGATCGACCGGGCGCAGCAACAACCGCAAACGCAAGTCACCGACTCGCCGTCCTTGCCCATGAACTTCTTGAACGCCGTCGCGCCGGACAGTCACGTTAACGATCCGATCGTCGAGAACCTTCAGGAGGTTATAACCGACAGCAAAACACAACACTCCGGAAAGAAATCGCCTTCCAAGCCTACCAGGACCTCCGCCCGGGTGACTTCGCTGCAAGGAAAGTCGCCCGGGAAGTCTCCGAGGCAAGAGTCTCAGAAGAGCGTACCTGGGGCACGTGGCCGGGGCAGGGGGGCCAAGAATTCAGCACAGCACTCTGGTTATAGGGGACGTGGTCGCGGACGAGGCAGAGGACGCGGTAGAAGCGGACAGAACGCGGGACTGTCGTTGGTCTCTGGTGCGGCTGTCGGCCAACACGACGACTCTATCCAGAACAAGCTGGTGGGAACGGTGTACGATTTCGATTCCGACGAGGATTCGACCAGCGAAGCGAACATCGCCGATCTGCGCACCATGAGGGAACGGAAGAAGTCGACGGACGCTGCTGCCGCGGCTGTCGAGAGGAGAGATCCCGCGGCTGTGGCTTCGGAGAACGTTCAGTCGAGACTCTCCAGTCCTGGAGGCGCGAGAAAGTACCTGGATGACAGGAGACTCTCTTGCTCGCCGGGTCACGATGACTCCACCATCGTGGAGAGCGAGTCGAACGCCGGGCAAAGCTTCGATACCGTCCTACCACTTATCCCTGGCCCCGTCGACATGAGGACGTACAATTCCACCCTGGACGCTTCAAGTTCTTCCACGTTGCACGGTCAGACCTACGAGAATCATTTCTTGGGCACGTTTACCAGCGTCTCGGCGAGCGATCCTACTCTTCCGGATATCGAGGAAGACCTGGAGAAGGAGCTGAGGTCCGCGTTGATAGGGAAACAGGGACAGGAAGACTGCTCGAAGCCGAGCTTCGACGCGAGCATCGACGCCTCGTCCTCCGGCTTCGTCGACGCCAACAAGGTCTCGTTAACGGATTCGAGGAATCAGCTGAAGGTCAAGATCAAAGGTCCGTTCTTGGACGCGAATTACGTTCCGGCCTCGTCGGTGCCGCCGCTCGCTCAACAAGCGCCTGTGATCATCGCCCCGGCTGCCACCAGTGCTTCCGTCGCCTCCGGCACCTCGAATCTCAGACGAATGCGAAAGAAGGAGCTGCTCAGACAGTATTGTTCTCAGGACATGAACATGGACGAACCGGGGTCCGGGAATTTGGCCACGTCGGCGCCGATTATCATGCCACCGATCAATCGTACCGTGATCACGATACCGAAGGCGGTCGCATCGATGACCAGCATACCCACCAGAGAAGACTACAAGGCGGTCGTGGACGCGAACATGGAGAAAAAGAGGAGAAAAGAAAGACCGGCAGGGTTCCTGGACGCGACCGAGGAGGAGGGAACCGGAGAGAGGCGGCGAGGCAGTGCTACCAACGGTGCTAGCTCCAGCAGCAACGCCACGGTCGGGAACACCGATCGTCGAAGAGGCAGGCAGAGCAGCGGCGGTAGATCGACGACCACGACGTCGACCACCACGACCAACAGCGGTCCGCCGAAGCTGAAGATCAAGATCGGTAACAGCATAATGGGTGGTCAAGAGAGCGGCCAGGACGACAGAACCAGGATCAGACCGCCTAAGAAACGGCTGAGCAGCATCCCTAGTAGCACGCCGAGCATAGAGGAGTTGCGTAGGGAGAGCATGAAGTTCAGACGCATGATCATGGCTGGTTTCGACAACGACGAGAAACTCCGGGCGAAGAGCAAGAAGGATAAGAACGGTAAACGGAAGAAACGGCAGTCGAGCAGGAAGGAGGCCAGAGTGCGTATCCTCGAGGGTGGAGCCGCCCCGCCGAAATTGATCATCAGATTAGGGAAAGGGAACGATTCACCGGACGAGCTACCGATCTTGGTCACGGACGAGGAGGAGGAGGAGAAAGAGGAACGCCATCCGACCGACAGCAGAGTCGGACCACCGCCGCCAGAACCGGTCAAGGACGAGACCGTTTACCCGGCGGTGGTTGCCACCATCGAGGAGAAGCAACCTACCGATCCCGACACTGGCGGCAGCGCGCCTAGGAATGTTCGTTCGGCTAAGGTCACGCCGATCAGGTTAAAATTAACACGGTGCCAGGAGGGCTACGAACTGAAGGGCTCGCCGGTCCACGGTGCGGAGACTCTTCTAACAACGGAGAAATCTCGGAGTTCCGAAACGACCAACGAGGAGACGAGGAACCCACCGGTTAAGAATCAGGAGGAAGAGTCCTCCAGGGAGGAGGAGGACGAGGAGGAAGAGGAGGAGAGCAATAGAAATTCCGTGCAAAGAGACTCCACCGCGTGTCCTGCCGCGACAAGTATACCGCAGGGATGCCAAGTTAGGTGATAATTAATGATACTCGTGGAGTAATGGAGCAGAGGACACGGTGCTCGTAACGATATTTTTACGGTCGATCGAAATGGAGTCGTTACAATATACGTTTGCCGGTTGCTAGCCGTGAAAACGCGTTGCCGTGATAAGGTGGAAAAGCGTTCCGCAAGGTACAGTTTCATTTTTACAAAGAATTATTTCCTCTTACGAGATGTCTATATATGAATCATGTTGTTGGGTTTAGTGGGATAAAAACTGAACGATCGTGTTTGTTTTTTTTTAAGAATTAAGATTGTGACAAGGAAAATCATCGATAATTATCGTTTCTGCTTTACAGATAATCCAGTACTTGGTCAAGAAATTGATCGCGTAAAAAGGCCCAATATCTTGAGACAGGAAATAGTTAGGGGTGTGTGGGTACTCGACAACGTCCGGTCAACTAGTGTCGGGTATTTTGATTGGAATTGAGTCGGAATTCCAAAATCTTCTTGCCACGGAAGCAAAACACCGTATTACGAAAGTATTCGAACGATTATAGAGACAAAATTGTAATGAACAGAATATGTAAGTTACGCTTGAAGATTTCAAGATATTATCACTAGCGATAGAACGCAACTATCAGGGTTATTTTGAAAAAACAATGATTTAAACGCCACAGGGATCTCTCCTTGGCCCATTATTATTTTATCAATGATTTACATACAAGAATTTAGTATCCGTGGCCCCGTAAATCGTATTCTTGCTTTAAACAATACACAATTTTAATGTAGGAACAATGTATGTCAATGTATGTCCTTGTAAAAAAGGATATTTACAGTTAAATTGCATTATTCGATGATAATAATAATCTCGAACAACATACGTGGCATGAAATTTTCGAAGTCCCGTCACGATCTTCAAATACTAGCGAGTTCGGGTACCCATAAGCCTCTAATAAGTATTACTTCACGTTACAGATAATTCAGTTTTACTTGAAAAATCCAGAAAAACCGCGTACCGCAAGAAATCGATGGATCGAAAGTATGAAATCTTAAAACACGAAATATTAAAATGGATAACAGTCGATATGTCGAGGAATATAAATTTTGTGAACGATGCCCGCTAAAGCCTACGATATATGGACATCTTTTTGATACGGTATCTTTTATGATTTTGCGCAAGTTCGCACGAAATCGTAACGAAAGAACTATTTGTACTACGCTCGTTGGTAATATCTACAAATTTTTTATTCTTTCTTTTTTTCTTTCTTTTTGTTTTTTTTATCGTCGTACACGTAAAGAATCATTATTTTTCTTTTGTATTATTAGCGAACGACTTTTATGTAGACTTCACCTTCTCACGGCGACAGAAACGCGAAACGAACGCTCATTTCGATGAGAAGAACAAGGTGATAGCAACTTCTAAGATGTATACTCGTTTTCGACTCGCTTCAAACGGACATTATTCGACGTTAACGAAGAACCTATGCTCCTCGAGGAATCCGGTTTTATTCTTAACAAATACTCGAGATGAAACGGGCGTGCCATTTCGCGGCGACGACGACGAAATGTCTATGTTTTTCCTTGCGAAAAGAACAGACGAAGAACCGATCGAGGCTGTTGACGAAGATTTCCAGTGAATCCGCCACGAATTCATCAGCCTGGCGTTTGCAAAACTTCACTTCATTTGTCTTGTTTATAAAATTTTTTTTAAAGAGATTGCGCGCGTGTTTGCTGCGTCTTGCGTGTGTGAGAGTGTGAATGTGTTACGCGTGACAGGGAATGAGAAACTAAACGATCAAAATGACACGTTAGGCGTGGAGAATTCTTGTGACAACTTCGTACACGGCCTCGTAAACTACCTTCGCAGTAAGAACTAGTTAATTGTACATACTTGTAATTTACGATTGTATTTAGTTTAAGTGGATGAGACAAGAGAGTGAAGCGGATGAGAGAATGGGAGACTGAGAGAACGAACGCGTGAAAGAGAGAACTTTTGTAATCAGTGCGAAGCTTACGTGATGGCTGTGTTTTACCACGCGGTCCGATCTTCCAGGCAATCCTGGGCCGCGCAGAAATGTTCGGTAACCCCCCAAATCGCTGGATCGCTCGAGTGTCCCAACCCCCCAACCCCCCTAAAAAAAAACCCCTAAACGGGGCGGTCGTTCGACATTTTTACGTAGAGAGAAATTAGCATTAAACAAGACGGGCAGAGCGAACGTGTACTTCGGGCGAAGAAATCCGAAGAAAATGTAATTAATTATCGTCTCGAGGACAATCCAGCTGCCTAGCAGCCTTTTTCATTCAAGTAAAGAATCAAGTAAACAATCGTATAGTCTGTCCCGATAGTTGCCCAAAATTACGCAGTTGCCCATAGAGATATAGGATATACACGCGTAGGCGTATCGCGTTCATCGTTCGATCAAAGCAAATTCGTAAGAACCGTTTAACGCCGCACGCATTCATCATTGTTTTTTACAAGCTCATTTGATATTATATAGTACGTCGGAACGTCCTGTTCCGTCTTCTCTTTTCTCAAGTATATTTTATATCGAGTACAATGTTAATAATTTATTCTTATTTAGTGTAAATAGGTTTTATAAAGAAAGTACGGTTTTTTTTTTTTTATACAATAGCATAGAGGATATACATAGTTCGCTCTTCCGAGTTTTTACGGGTTTACTTTGCGTCCAAGTACAATTCGATTCCCTCGAGGACGGCTGCGTAATTACGGAGATACGCTCGAATGGACATTTGTTATTTAAATGGACTATATGAGAGGATATTTAAACTAATTATGGAAAAAATTTGTCCTCATTTGGAGCTCCGCCGTAACGCTAGTAACAGAGAAAGAACAAATCCACGTTTCGCGGGGAGAACGTAAACTTCCGCTTCCTTCTACGCTGTGCGACGAACGAAACGTGACTTCTTCGCTTGGAATCCGGGGTTTCGGAATTTCTCTGCGCGGGCCGGTGTACATTCATCCTAGATCCAGTCAGTAAATTTCGTTACGTCTGTTATTGCGTACTTATTGTTGTTGTTTTCCTATTTTTTTTTGTTTTTTTTTATTACACCAAGAAATTCCCGTTTCCATCATCAAACTTTCAAAGTCGAGTTGGAGTTATCGAACGCTAAAAATCATAGCGAAAATCGAGCATATCACGCTACATCTTCGAAGGGTTTCTGACGCCTTCCTCAAAAACTGTTGATATCTGCAATACTTTTGTGTGTTTGTTGCCCTCTATCTTTTAATGTTCTTTTTTTTTTTTTATATATATTTACAACATGTGTCCCACAGGAAATGTCGTATCCAAGATACGAAAAATTCTTGAGCTAACAGTACGATAAATTCTTTACGTTTTCTTTTAGTCTTTCTTGTTCATTAGCTATTTTAGATTATTGACGATCAATGTCGACGATTCGATATCTTCAACGTGTATTCGACGTGCGAGATTGTAATACTTTTGATATAAATATCCGTATAAATGAATGTAACGAAACATAATTTCTTTTTTAACAAAATTTAATTTTAATGTATCTTGCAACTGTCTATCATTTTTATGAGAATACTTACTATTTATCAATTTTACAATTAATCTTATGCAATCAATGGAATTGTAACGGCTCGAAATATTTTCTAGATTTTTTAAAATGTTTTTGTTTATACAAACAATGGTGCAATATGCTACAAATACCTCGATTCAATAAAAATTGCAGGAACGTTTAAAATTGTATTACTTTTAGCTCAAGAACATCTTTACTTATAGAACACGATAAATTTCATCATGAGATATTTAATAACTTGTAAAAAAAAAAAAACTGTTCTGGTTATAGGAAAGTTCCAGTATGTAATTGTATCGCTCCACAACGATTATGTTTCAACGTTTTGATACGTGTACTTTTCTTTGTTATTTATATCATTTATTTGACCAGCAATCTACAATTGACCAGGTGTGCGGACTCGGCAATGAAACGATCATTTTTACGAATTTGTAAATAATAATATTAAATTGCAAAGGCAAAAAGCAGATCGTGATTTTAATCGTTTTTGGAATCGAGATGACTGGTTCTAGGATTGAAAAAGATGTTAATATATACATTGGTAGTTAGAATCCTGAATTCTGAGAGGAGGAATGACGTTGCGCGTCCTGGAAGCCGGAGAAAGAAAATCTCGCCGGCGATAAGCGGAGCCTATTATTGTGTTGTACAGAGAAAAATAAGTGAAGAGAGCCAAGCGGAATCATTTTATTTCGAATCGTTTCTTACTTACGCTAAGCATAGAAAAAACCCGATAACGATGAATTTCTCATAATCGTTGTACGTGTCCACATGTATCATAAATGCGGACGCTTACGACGACCCAGACACATACGTGAGACACATATATAAATATATAAATATATAAATAGTTTTATTATATTGCAAAGTGAAATAATACAATATTTAGCTACTGTATATAATGTAAAAGAAAAAGCTGGTCTTGTAAGATACGGATTAAGGTGTTTTAATGTGCACATAGCCGCGTCATTGTCAATAATCATATTATTACGATTAATAATAATTACAGTTTTTTAAACGAAAATTGTTAAATTGCATTACGTTCGATATATTCTTCAACCCTCCGATAAAAAGCGTAGATAGTAAGGAAAGGAAATTTTACCTATTGGATTTCTACGAAAAATTTCATTATTTTTTGTTTATTTATTTTTTCAGAATATTTATGGACTAATATAAAGAAATATAAAAAGGAATCTTCAAAAAGAATTATAAGAATATCGAATATTTATTATTTACTTGTGAAATGAAAATCATTGCGATGAGATATTTTCTTTTTCAAAAGCGCGGTTATTTGTTCGCGATCGTAGTATTTTATATCATTATCCACCAGATGGTGCTAGCGAAACATTTCACATTCTAGAACAGTGATGCCAGTTGTTCCCAAATATCAGATTTTCTTGGTCTTTAAAAAGACCGGTCAACCATCTTCTTGGCCATCTTCGATTTTGATTGAATAGAAATCTTCAATTAAATTCTTCATCTCGATACGGTCCGTCTTCCTTGGTGGTTGAGGGATGACTGCCGCGGGCCCGCCAGGGGGCACGGTTTTTATAGACTTTCTTGAAGCTAGCGCTGATTGGCTGAGAGTATTGGCGCTAGTTAATAGATATGATCAGTAATACAAAATAAAATTAAAGAATTATTATTTCAATAATGGAATACTTATAGGTATATATAAATAATTTCTACACATTCTCCATAAAAATACGCGTTGTTTGCAACTTGAAACATTAAGATCCTTCGATCCGTTCAGAAGTTAGAATGTTTTAAAGGTAAATAAATGTTCGCTTGACATTTCATGCGTATGTTTAAAACATTATAACTTCTGAACGGATCGAAGGATCTTAATGTTTCAAAGTGCAAACAACGCGTATTTTTGTGAGGAATATATAGACATTTTAACAATATTCGAAAAACAGTCAAACAACAAAATTGCATAAATACCAATTTTTCGAATATTCTTAGAATGTCTACATATTCCTCATCAAAATACGCGTTGTTTGCATTTTCAAGTTTCACTAATAATCGTAATATAAATACTAGTTGTATAGGTTAAGTTGTTTAATGATACGCGATATGAATATTAGTTGTACAGTTTAATTGCGTTGTTATTTAGTGTATGTTTTTGGTGTGTATGTGTGAGTGTGCACCCGACGGTGTTTTTCTGGCATCACTGTTCTAGAACCATACTTGCTTCGTAATCGTACTAGTTCATACTGCCTTAGTAAGTTATCGATACACGGTTATTCTGTCAAAACAAATAATACCATTTTAACGTTTAAAAAGTATTTGTTTAATTGAAATTTGAAAGAAGATGAAGCCTAGTCTAGTGGCGGATGAAATGTTTCCCGAGGGCGCAGGATCCTACATTGAATTAGAGGAGGTATTCATATTACTTTAACAAGGTTATGTTTCTATTAAAATGATTGTTCTCTAATGCTGTGCACTAATTGTGCACTAATTTCTGTTGTGATATCAGTTGACGTTTGTTTGATTTTTAATTACACGCCGATAATATTGCGTATTTAATGAACCAATGAAACCTATTTTAGGTTGGAGGCAGTCGTTTATTAGTTGATCTTACTACTAGCGAGAAAGCGGTACACTCAGACTTTTTCAATGGTATCTGATTATTTATCGTTAAGTTAAATCATTACTGTAACATTTATATGTACAAATGAGAATGAATTTTTTACTTTTGCAGATTTTGATGATTTGTTCGACGAAGATGATCTTGATTAAAATTTTGATCAAATTTTGCACTACCGCTAGTGCTATGAAAGACCATAGACTATATTTATTTAAAACCCACTTATTATGGATGTAAAATTAATTAATTGTATTTTGGAAATATTCAATACCACATTTCATAATATACACAAGTATTAAGTATATCGGATCTAATTTATTGGTATAAAATCGATCCATGTTTTATTTGAAAGGATTGGGTGTAACAATAAACATTGTTTTAAAACAAGTGAAAGCAATTATTAAATAAAAAGCAAATAAAACGTATAAAGGAAGAGAAATTGATATACACAGAAGATTAACATTATTACAATTTATTATTTTTAGTTCGAAATTGAATCAGACGTGTACCCGTGTTCAAAATACCAATTATCTTGGTACGTTAGCTCGGGCGATATTAATTATAAACGTGCCATAAGAAAATGAGTACTGGTCATAATGTCTCGTACACATTAATATCGATATCATTGTAAAGATTATAATTTACAATACATAGATGCTAATCATATAAACCTGTTAAGATGATGCACAATTAAAATAGCACCCCGGTTTCAGTCGCGCCGCATAATCATGGATCCTGTCGATCGTCATGCATCGAAGGTCTTTTTTTTTTTCCAGACGAGACACTCTGAAGCTGTTTAAGTTTTATTTCTGCGCGGTTTGTTTCTTGTGTTTTGTTTTTTCTCCTTGGCCCCAATCGACAATTAATTCACCTTTTGATCACCTTCATTTCACATTAACAGACTTTTATTAACGGTGGCAACGAGGTTCCAAGACATTCTCGATTACCATTATTCGTGCGCATCTTGACTACGTACGAAAATGACGTTCTTGAGAGCGATATCGATGACGACCATATCGAATACGCTGCTACCAATGACGAATATCCTGGAAAATAACAATTATCGTGATATCTGAACGCGACGTTAACGCAAAAATTACTGAATTTTACCCCAATTAAAGTCTAAAAGATTTTTTAAATAATTCTCATAAATGTATACCAACTCTGAGTCCAGCCCCGAGAAAATCGTTCGGAGTGCTAGTTAACTTCGAGATCGCTATCTGCTTGGTCATCCTGATCGCTCTCTTCCTCCTCGTCTTCTTCCTCGGAATAATACTGCGAGGGTGGCGATAGAACATCCTCCGAGAGTGAAGTATGAGAAGAGGAAGGTGGTCGGGAACCTTCCAATTTTATGTCCAGGTCTTCCATCGAAGTACTTGGTCCAGGAATGGTTACTGGGATGAATTTCTCCAAATCACCAGTTGCCAGTTCTGAGAATAAATTGTAACTAAGCCGACCAAACTACTAAATGTGCAATGATCTTTTAAAACAAATACATACGCTCCACATATTTCTCCAACGATTTTGGAACCATCAACTTAGCCTTTCGCAAATTTTCCTCGTTACATTCTCCTTTTTCTAGACCTGGGAAAAATAATTACCTTTCATTGGTTAACCAGTACAGCGAATAGAATAGAAAGTAACAAGTAAATCGTTTACCGAAAGCTAAACCCATTTGTTTCAGAACTTCAATATCGTCGTGAATTTCGAACTTATCGTTAAAATTGAACAGGTACTCAGTTCTGCGACAAACGTAATGCGACATTATTATTAACTAAAAGAATAGAATTATACCGGTGAAGTGGTCTCGTCAAAGGCAAATCATACTTGTCATTCGAAATGCTGCAATCTATGACAGTCTTTTTGCTAGTATTCACAATCAGGAATGGCAGCTGTATGGCAGAATTTGGTTTTGGGGGACCACGCAGACTTTCATTGGCACGATTACGTTCCACCAGGTTTTTGAAAGAGATATGCGAGAGAATCAATTGATGTAATTGTTGCGTTTTCGCCTTGATCCTCTCGATCTTTTTCTTTTTATCTTTCTCCAGCGCTAAACATTCTTGCAAAGAATTAGTTGGTAAACCTAGCCACCTGATTTCCTTCTTTTCTTTTGAAATAATATTCATTGCCATTAAGACGTTCAAAGCATCGTAAACACGTCTTCTAATATTTTTCTGATCATATTGCTACAAAAAAATTCAATTCGTTTTTATTTTTTTTTTTTTGCTTTTCGTTGTTTAAAAAAGAGTGGAAAAACTTATACCTGATCTGTTAAGGAGTTTATATGAGCAGGATTAGTGAATTCCCCAACAAGTTCGTCCGCAACCTCGTTGTATGACGTCGTTCCCTTTTTCTTAACTTTCTCGCAAACTTTCATTGAAAAATGTCGTAAACCTTTCCCTACTTTTTCTGTTTTTCTTCGTTTACTACAAATAGATGAAACAGAATATACAAGCTTATTAATGAAAATACTGTAAATTATATACGATTAAAATATCAAATATATGTATTTTCACTAAAATTTTGCATATGCGTATACAGCTTGAAATCTAAAGAAAATATGAAAAATTATATCGGCAAACGAGAAAGAAAAGTCGGATTAAATTAAAACATAGAGGACATTCACTATATGCATAAAGATAATTAGTTATTACTCTGGTACAAAGTCGCCACCCTCGACATCTTGTCTTTTTCTCGAACCACTGTGATCCAATATTGGACTGATATAAGTTTTTCCGCTCGCATCTTTTACAAGCTGTTGATTAGCGGACTGTTGTTGTTGTTGTTGTTGTTGCTGTTGCTGCTGTTGTTGCTGCTGAGATACTATTGCCTGTTTTATATCGCTCTATTCAAATAAGAAATCGGTACAATTAATGCATTTACTAAAAACCGAATTATTATTAAACTTCTTAAAACATTGGTCAATTTATTTATAAAATGTCCATTAGCCCATTCGGTGTAAGCGTTAGTTATAGTTGACGGCCGTCGGTATTTTTACTCGCGATAATATCGATAGGATTAAAAGTAAATCGTTAAAATATACCATTTGCGCGGATGTCAACTGTATAGTCTTGGTCAGTACAGGTTCACCAGCCTTAGTAGTCGCCAATTTTGTATTCTGCAATGGTATTGTAACCAATCCTAGAATAAACATAACAAATTGCTTTATCATTTTTTATCTTTAAATACAAAGATAAGAGTCAGGGAAATTATATCTCTGTCAAAAAGTACAAATTTGAAATTTTCCATTTTTTTAGATCGTTTTATAAGAAATAAAAATAAAAATGGTGACTTTGAATATTACTCACTTTGGCCAGGAGTTGAAGGACTTTGTAGACTAATAGTTCTAAGAACTTGTGCGTTTGATGACAAAACCTAAAAAAGACAGAGGTATTATATCAGTTATAATCTTGAAATATAGTAACCTTACAATGTCTTTATTAATAATAAAGAGACAAGGGTCAAATGTAATTCTTAAAATTATTAAAATATTATACCTGAGATTCTTGGCTCGGAGTCTTAAAGACCTTAAGGCTACCTGCATTTGTTGTACTGACAAGACCACCCAATGCTTTATTGGCAGTACTCTGTACTACTTTTATCACTTGTGGATGACCTAAAATAATTACAATTCATGGTTTATTGCTTGAACATTATAAATATTTCCATAAAATTTAATCAGCTTCAAAAAGAAGATATTTCAAACAATTAAAGTCTGATAAAGAATGATTTGTAAAACCATCATAAGATGGAACACATTCTATAGGTTACACCATCATCATGTGAAACATTATAAAACTATGATATAAACTGCCTTTTATATAATGTCATTGGAAGTACATATAAAATATTAATACACTAGGCAAGTTGATTTACTAAACTGTTATAGTTTCAAACGAATTAAATAATAAAATTGAATAGGATCTTCATGTTTGATCAAAAGCATTGGGAAATAAAGTGTCTCCTTCGAATGAACAATCAAATGGAGCAAAACTATACTTATTCTATAGAAACTGAAATAGAGGAATGACTTGGCTTTATTTCTCTAACAGTAAAAAGGAAAGTATAAACATAGTTTACCGAATACAATTCAGAAATATTGCAAGAAGCGCGGTACGAAACCGACACGAATATGATGGGGGAAAAAAGTCAACAGAGACTCGTAATTGACAAGAATCGAACGGAATATAGTAGAAATACGAGTATGAATTCGGAAGGAGGGTAACAGGAGCGAAAATGAACGGTCTTAACAAAAATGAGAGGAAATCGAGGCATTATCGTCGAAGTGAGGCATGCCTGATAATTGGCGCGCACTCGGCATACTCACCGTTCGCGTCATGTATGAGAAAGTTCATCGTTTTGTTTTGTTGCGTCATCCTCGAGGTTAGAATTCCGTCCCGGCGTCACTGACGATCACGACGATCGACCGAATGCCGAGTGAAAATAAAAAGATCATAGGTACACTCGCTAATCTTGGCTCAGTCTATCACCAAAATGGCGACTATGATATAGAACCATTTGAGATCAGAATACGACAATATACAGATGAAAGAACGTCTCAATTCACGCACGAAAGTAAAAATCAGCCGTTTCTTTGTTATATTAAATCAACCATTTTAACAGAACGTTCGTCTCTTTGCAAAAGTATCGCACAAATTTCTAGCTTCCGCGTGCACAGTACGGAATAGAGACGAGCTTGGCGGCACGACAAAGTTAAACAGCTGATTGGTTCCCTTCTCAGTCACGTGGCCCCTCCTGTTCCACGTTTATGGGCACAGTAATCTCTACGAGAAAAACCCATCTCTAGAGCTACAAAACGCTGAACATTATTTTCGGGACAATTCTTTGAAAACTGAAAACAACCATTTGCTGCTTTCTGCCCAATGGACAGCTGCCTTTTAAAAGCCAGCGTATAGTAAACGAAGCAAAATCTTCAACGGATCGTAATTGGCGATTTAATCCATAGATCTAACAATGTATAGATAGAAAATAACGAGTGATGGCTAGAACTGTTATTTGTGAATCACGGTGATTCGTTCATGTGCATTTCCAATGTAACGTCTCCCCATTCTGGCCCCTCGACCCCCCAAATTACGAATAGTTAGTTACTAGATAGTAAGTAACTAGATTGCAGAAAGTTTAAGCACGCGTAGGATTAAAAAATATAGATTTTATATACCTTTGAAGCGAGCTGGACGTGCGATATTAATAATCTAATAGTAATTGCTAAAGATAATTATTATTGATAAGACTAGTAAATTATAGATTGGATCTACTCAAAGAATATGTTTGACAAAGTATTCTAAAAATAAATTTAATACAACAACTGGTAGATTACATGTTTTAGGTCATATAATCTATAATTTATATAAAAAGAGAGCAGAATGTACACTAAACTTTCGCGCCATGATGACTCATATGCTGCATTGTGCATGAAAGTAGCCCTAAGGATATTCTTGATGTTTTTAGGCATTCAAAGCAGCAATATAACTCAAAATAGTATAAACGTCTTCTTTAGGCGTTTATAAGTTTATGTATTTTACTGGCATTACAATTCCGCGATAAAATTATTAAAATTAATATAAAACGAAATAGAATAAACGTAAGTTATTTGAAATAATAAGATTTACGGTAATTAAGCGAATTAAATTGCAACTTTGCTTTGGATGCTTTCCGATTGGTTGGCAGAAAAGTTTCTAGATAGTCAAGACCAATAATGTTTTTGCAAATCGACGTTAGTCGCAAAAGAATTTTGATAAGAGACGTCACAGAATCTTGCAATTAGTCGAAAGTTTTTAAAGATAAATAATTTATTCGTGAAGTTATTAATAATAATTATATCGCATCGCTTAGTGTCGGGATTTGTTATTGACGGAGTTGTCATAATCGTATAAATTGTGTTTTTAATACCTAATATTGAACTGAAAAGTAGTTGCCTTATATGTGCGCTTTTAAAAGAATCGTATAGGATACTTCGAACCGAGGCTGAGGATTCGTTCAGGTTCTGGCTGAATGGTAAGATTATTTTAAGGTTTGTGAGCTGATTGAAACGCACAGGTTAAACTTTACTATCTTCTTTACCGAATTCGCGTTCTTGCAAGTCATAACTTAACGTTCGCCTGTTTCTCTCGATCTTTCAATTTTTACTTTGTATTACTTGTCATTCTAATACAAACGTATGAATCTTGCTCGTATCGTTTCGTTGATCTCTTTTTTTTTTTTCATCCGAATTTCTCTATCGTCATTGTATCGATAATCGACATTATACACGACCTCCATTTTTGTTGCAACTATTTCGTCGGCGTATTTCTTACAGTACCAGTCGGTCCCTTTATTTTCACGGATTCTTTTCCAATTTGTTCATTAGAATTCTTCGAGAATAAAATTTGCTATGTTAAACCTAACGTATATTTGTTAGAAAAGGGACATGCGAATTAATATTTATAAATAATGTTTGATGATGGTAGATCATAATCTGTAACAAATTTGACATTTACATCTACAGATATAACCTGAAGGAACATGTTTAACACTATTGACCGCAAACTTTATAGCATGTGAAAAAGCACACTTGCGAAGAGTATACTTTTATAGAAAAAGTTTCTTGTATGGGTATACATGGCAATAAGGCTATCATAATTTGGAATATGAGAAGTTTTCAGTACCACCTTTTTTAACCCAGAATTTGGAGCAGTATGTTATAGGCTAAATCACGTAATTGTTTAATCCAAATCTTATTTGTATCTTGATAACTTTGTTTCAATTTCTTCATCATATACATATATGTATAATGAATTATATATAAGTACATCATTGATATAGAAATAAATTCATTAAATATAACAAGTTTAAAATTGATACGATACGGTATGATTTTATATGGAATAATATAAAAGGGTTAAGAAACTTTAATTTTCTCTAACAAAATTTGTATATAATATGTATTAAATCGAACCATCTAACTTTTTATTTATTATTTCCACATGCTCCACAAGGTCTGTACATTGTGAGAAACATGCCTCTGTTCGGAAAGTCTCAAAAGAGTCCGGCGGAGGTGGTGAAAGCTCTTAAGGAAGCGGTAAATGCATTGGAGCGTGGTGATAAGAAGGTAGAAAAGGTACGTTGGAATACCATATATCGATTTCTATTACATAATATATTGAATTTTAGGCTCAAGAGGATGTTAGTAAAAATTTGGTACATATAAAAAATATGCTCTATGGAACAGCTGAATCAGAGCCCCAGGCAGACATTGTTGTTGCCCAATTGGCGCAAGAATTATATAATAGTAATTTGTTGCTTCTACTTGTGCAAAATCTTAGTCGCATAGACTTTGAGGTAGGTTGAAATTTGCATAAAATTTAATACAGTAATTAAAAGAATGCATATACAGATGTAGTTATTTTTTAGAGTAATACTTATCGTTATATTATTTATTTAATAATAAACTATGATCGCAAGATTATTAAAAACAATAAACGTATAAAGATATTCTTATTAACTTTCGATGCTTCAACTTAATAATTTTTATTTTAGATTAATTTTTTCCATTACTTTATACTTATCATTTTTCTGACAACATAACAACATGTTTTAATAGGGAAAGAAAGATGTCGCTCAAGTGTTTAATAATATACTACGAAGACAAATTGGAACCAGATCTCCAACAGTGGAATACATATGCACTAAACCAGAAATATTATTTACTCTAATGTCTGGGTAAGTAAAAACAGAATTTTTTATTATAATTTGTTTCTTTTTCTTACAGAAATTACTGTAGTAACGGTATTATATTTTTCTCATTTGGGTATTTTTATTTAGAATTAAGATTATAAAGATATTAAAAAATACTGATTTTATTCCTATTAAACAAAATGTAATAATTTTAGGTATGAACACCAAGATATCGCCTTAAACTGTGGCACTATGTTGAGAGAATGTGCGAGATACGAGGCCTTGGCAAAAATTATGATTTATTCGGACGACTTTTACAATTTTTTCAGATATGTTGAAGTGTCGACTTTCGACATAGCCTCCGACGCATTTTCTACGTTCAAAGTAAGCGATGATAAGCGCATGATATATCGTACTTAAAGTAAAGCATACTCTTGGTGCATCCGGTACGTTGGTTTTTAGGAATTACTTACCAGGCATAAAATACTGAGCGCTGAATTTTTAGAAATAAATTACGATAAAGTTTTCTCTCATTATCAAAGGTTATTGAGTTCGGAAAACTATGTTACGCGACGACAGAGTTTGAAACTGCTAGGGGAACTTTTACTTGATAGACACAATTTTACCGTATGTATAATTTTAAATGTTTCATTTTCAGATATATATGTGTATGCATGTATGTATATTTAAAAATATTTTAATTCAATAGTTTTCAAATTCTAGGTAATGACGCGATATATTTCGAATCCTGATAATTTGAAATTGATGATGAATATGCTCAAAGAGAAATCACGTAATATTCAGTTTGAAGCGTTTCATGTTTTCAAGGTATACTCACGTATTTTTTAACTTTTAAATTATTATATACATTTTATGTGATTGGTTATAGTATTAATGCTACTTTGTAGAATTAGATGTAGCGTACACGTTATATTTTTTTATCTAGTATATTATATGTGTAGCTTATATAAAATGAAATTTATTATTCTAGGATCTTCAACGTTCTTTAGATTCCAGAAATAATCGAAAAGAAATTTTTGTGATTCAAATATCAAATGTAATAAATATTTTTTTCCTTCTCAGATTTATATTCTAAAATGTGTTCGCAATTATATAGGTATTTGTGGCGAATCCGAACAAGCCAAAACCGATTTTAGACATTCTACTGCGCAACCAGGAGAAGCTAATCGAATTTCTGACGCGTTTCCACACTGAGCGTTCAGAGGATGAACAATTTAACGACGAGAAGGCGTACCTTATTAAGCAGATTCAAGAACTTCAATCTGTACATGAGAATTAAGTCCAAAATACAAGTTATTGCTACAGCTACCGTTAACTACTACTATTGAAGTCTATTCAGCTGCTGTTGCCACTGTTATACCATCACAGTCACTGATGTAGCCAACTACCATTATTTTCTCCCCCTTTTTCTGTCTCTTACTCTTCCTTTCTTTCACTCGTTATAGTTATCGTTGGTCGATTCATAATGATTCGATTATTATTAATTATTATTATTAATTAATTATTATTATTATTATTATTATTATTATTGCTATTACTTTTATTTGCGAGTAGTTCTGTAAATAAAGTTTTTCGTTTAATTACGTTTGCTGTATGTTGTATGAAGGTAATTCTATGTCGCATACATATAATTCCACTTTATGCCCATTAATGTTTTTGTGGTTGACGGTTGCCGTGCGAAGATATCAGAAATTTTCTCTGTAAATTAGCGGGCATATTAAATTACTGTGGTATACACGATCTTTATAAACAATAAATATAAATTACAGTGCCTGCGGACATAATATTTTATGTCTACCTAATAAACACAGTGATGTAAGTTAAATTAAATTACACCAAAATTTTAAACATATTTCTTTTATCAAACTGACATTTAATTTTTTATGACTAGTATCGCATTGGTCGATAGCTGTTGTTAGAGTTGCAAAATTTACAAAAAAAAGCATTGATATGGTTCTAATAATTTATTTTCTTTGAAAGCATAGTTTATTTGTGGTTATTAAAAAGTTTAAAGCAGTTAAAAGAATAAGAGAAAATTTCAATTGAAGAAGTACGCAATTTCCAAAATAGGGGGCGTCGTATAGTTGTTGAACCACAGCAGTATGAAAGTAGTCAGTTATCAGGTTAGTAGGTTAACCTGTACTGATCAGTATTGGTAACGAAAATTCAACATAATGTTTAGTATTATTTACTAATGAAAATTGAGTTCTTTGCTTTGAAAAGATATTACAATTTAGTGTTTCGATGGGATTATAGAGTAGATTTAAGTTTAAACGAAATAATGAAAATGGGGCCGAATTTGTGTAAAGTAAATTCGATGGGGAACAAAATCACATGAAATTCTGAGTTGTGATGATACGTGATGTATTTATTTATAAGGAGTATGGAACAAATAAAAATGTTTGTAAAAGACCCCTGTGGCATCGTATGCATCATAGTCACGTACGTCGCTGTTTTTTATGCAGATTACGTCGTTGTATGTTGGGTTATCTTACATAGTTTACAAGACAGGTATGGATTTCATGATTATGTTTATCCGTAGCAGTGTATTCTACTTTCTAAATATGTTTTATTTAATGTAACTGTTGACGAAATATTTCCATTTTCTTATTTTGTTATGTTGCAACACTTTTGCGGTGATTAGAGACAAAATTTAAGAGAATGTTTGTAACCGTGTGACCATTTATAATTAACATTTTTGTTATATATTATGTACAGTTTGTGGGGTCCATTTCATGTAGTGGCTTTCAACGCCGTTGTATTGTTATTGATAATGTCACATTTGAAAGCAGTCTGCAGCGATCCTGGCGTTGTACCATTACCACAAAGTCGTATGGACTTTTCTGACATTCATACAGATAACTCAGAGACAAAAATTGAATGCGACGAAAGAGACAACTGGACCGTTTGCACGAGGTGTGAAACGTACAGACCACCCAAGGCACGTCATTGTAGAATTTGTAAGCGATGTATTAGGAGAATGGATCATCATTGTCCATGGTATTGTATAAGTTGTAACATTATAAATAGTTTTTTTTTAGTAGTCTTTCAATATTCAAACGACCAAATCCAATTGAAAATTATGGGATTATTATTAATGTAACTACAGTTATTTTTATTTTCATAAATCTTTGTCTGTTTTACAGTTTTCTTGATCTTTTAAGTTCTGTGATTTTTCATACGTTCAATAAAGGAAACGCTTTTTCACCTTTGAATTTTAATATTTCTTGTCCATCGAATAAAGAATATTAATTTTAAGAAATTATTATTATGTTCAAAATTATTTTAGATTGACAAGGAAACTTCAAGTATATTTTACAGATTTTATTACATAACAGTTTTCTTTTAATATGTATGTATATTAAATATATATCATTTCCAATACATCCAATTTGATACAACTTTTATAATAATAAGATTATTTGCAATGCTGCACAAAGGATAAACAACTGTGTCGGAGAAAGAAATCAAAAGTACTTTATCCAATTTCTGGTCTATGTTGGACTCTTGGCCGTCTATGCACTAGGTCTGGTAATAACATCATGGATCTTAGAATGTTCTCACTGCAGTAACGACATAGCTTACAAACAAAGTCGCATGTATGTGCGCTACATAAGTATTATTTTAAATTTTGTTTCATATTCTTCCAACATATATATTTTTAGTTAAAATATTTTATTTTACCTCTTCTTTAAAAAAATAAAGTTTAGATCAATTTCTTGCTACAAAACTAAGTTACGTGCTCGTGAAAAAAATATTACAGAGCTTATTTAAATTTAAAAGCTAATTATTTAATGTCATCAAACAGATATATCGCCAGAAAAAATGAATATTAATCTGGAAGTTTTTTCTGCAGCTTACACTGTGTTATATTGGTGTTGGAATCAGCATTGTTTGGCATGTTTGTCATCGCAGTACTGGTAGATCAATGCCAAGGTATACTGGGAGAAGAAAACACAGTGGAACGTATGCAAAATAATCATCATTATAAGAAAAATAGTTCACGTACCTTGGTGTTACTTTCTCAAGTTTGTGGTAAGAGTCATCCAATTTTATGGATGCTCCCTTGCCAGAACCCGCCACGGTATATTTTTCGAAAAGACGCGTACCTGATCGATCACGAAGTTTAAGTGAACATACAAATAATTCTTGAACAATGAATGCTTCTTTTATGGCTTTTAATGCCATAAATACTTTTTTATATGTATTAGAAACTTTTCCTTATTTAATGGATAGAAGGTGTAATTTATACAAAATGGGGACATTACTGTTTATTATAAAATTTTCGGGAAATGAAAACGGTATTAACAAACATATTTGTTCTGTTATTTAAAACTAAAGTTAGGTGAATTTTAATCTTTTGTAACTGTATACTTTTCCTAAAGACATTTTCGTACAACGTCGCCAAAATAAAAACGAAGGAATGTAAAGAATGAGTCATTTAAAAATGCAAGCTCGTTTTAATTTTGCTTCCATTTTATTACGCGAAAAGTTAATTTCCAAGTCATTCCATAAGATTAAATGAGTCTAAATATACTTGCAAGTTTAATATTTAATACGATCGAACCAAATATTAATAATTATAGCGACGGAACCTGAATGAAGCTTGCAAAAATAACGTACTTATAAACATTTTTTAATATATCTTTAGCTAATTTTTTGTTATCAGTATATATCTTTAAGATGTGCGACGCGTAATTTCAATGTATGTAGAATTCAATACTAGTCTGCATTAATTTGTACAATTATCGACAAAATTTATTTGTATTAAAGTGGTGCAAAATTATTTTAAATAGTATGTATATCTTTTTACAATATTTATATGTGTTATGGCATTTTACACTGAAAAAGTATTGTAGCATTATAAAAATGAATTCAGGATTAGCGATACCGACATTATTTCGATACAAGAAAACCATACTGTATACAAAAAAAAAGAAACGTTTATTCAGATTGCAACTTTTAAAGACAGGCTGCCATTAGGCCAGCAACATTTTCAAAATCTATTTTTTCTGTAATATTTTTTGTTTTTATATTCTCATCTTGATTGGCGATAAAAATAATCGTTTTACTTTCCTCTTTCCATCCATACTTCTTTACCCAGTGTTTTAAGGTAGCATCTAAAATTACATTCAAAATTAGTTACTTTAAAAAATAAATTTATAAATTGGTTATTAAACCTCTGTAGTGTATTAAAGAAACAGATGTTACCATCAACATTGCCAAGAAGTTGTGCCAAGAGGCTTTTATCTATTGTTTGGAAAGTAATTCCCACTACATGACAAACAAATTTTCTTATCGAATCTTGGAATCCTACAATATTGTCGCAAAGGTCAGACATGGAGAGAACTCTGTCCCAAAAATGCTGAAAGTCACATTGTTCCAAAATACCTCCTAAATACATAATTTGATTAATAGGACTTTCTTGCATCTGTAAAAACAATTGTATTTTATTTATTAATTAACAGATTAATAACAGATATTAATTATAATACTGGTTTAGATCAGGTGTTAATGATCATTAACTGAGATAAAACCTCAACTACAAAAAAATTACAATTTTTTCACTGAGGAGACATTTGCACAGAACAAAATCTGTATGTGGTAGATTTGTCAGAGCCTTTAACAATATTTGACACGTAATATCCATGTCAAATTTATGTGGATTCAATTGATAGAGCTTCAAAACTGCTAAATTGGCTTCCAAATCATATGCATTTTCTCTTGATTGTATTTCAACATATTTTTCCAGAGTGGCTAAATGATCTGGATTATATCTAAAAAAATATAATAGTATAATTTGATATACACACATAAATCAGTAATCAGGTTGATTGCAAACAGCAAATGAGTTTGATTAAACATCAGAGAGAAGTACCTTTCAATGCCTTTTAACATTCCAGCCACAGTTTGACGCATTGCTTCAGCCATTTCGGTGATATAAAATATGTTTCTTAAATTTTTAGTTATAACGAAATAAAAACAGACTGTTCGTCTAATTTGTCGACAACACGTTTCACCAGGTTAAAGCAGTATGGCTAGATTTGGTATAATTGAGTGCATCGACAGTAACACTAGTAACGATGAATTTCCTTGGCGTTTAAGGGAGTGATGGGGAAAGCTGGCATATCGTACGCAAGACCCATGCTCCATGAGCAATTTGGCGCAATTTTGGGAAATCGAGAAGGCATAGAGATTCGAAATTGCATGTCATTGACACGAGATCGGATTTTAGCTGTTCAAGATCAAGAAGGAAAGATTAACATTCGCTTTCTTCATCGATTTCCCAAAGTTGCGTAAAATGCTGACCTAACGTAACATGTGGCTCGTGCATGTCGGCTTTTCCCGCCACTTCGTGAAACGTTAAGTAAGTTCGTCGTTAGTAGTGTCGTCGTCGATGCACTCGATCATGCCAAATCCAGCCACACTGATTCCTGATTATGTATGTTAACTGTTATGGTGGTTATAAAACACCGTTTTGTTAACATTTCATTAAATTCTGAAAAACCTAACCAAAAAGCAACACGAGTTAACCTTATCTCGCAGAAAATAATCAGGTTTGATAAACGTTAGATCATTACGCATGGTGAAGTCAAAACACGATCGAAGCACGCGAGTGCGTTCCATTTGATTTGTATCGTATTTATTTAACAATAAACGAATAAAATGAGGTACGCGCAACTTGTAATGGGACCAGCTGGTAGTGGGAAGGTACTTTCTTTTTGCATTTAAAATTATATAATTATTAAAATAATTGCCATTAATTTTTTCAATAGTCTACGTATTGTTCTGTCATGCAACAACATGCAGCCAATGAAGGGAAAGTGGTAGAAATAGTAAATTTAGATCCAGCGGCAGAATATTTTGATTACGAACCTCTAGTCGATATAAGAGAATTAATTCAGTTAGACGATGCTATGGAAGATGTAGAATTACAATTTGGACCCAATGGTGGTCTTGTGTTTTGCATGGAGTAAGTTAATTGAATTAATTTTTACACGTTTGTTAAATAATATACGTTATTCCAAAGTTTCGATTTCTTCCATAATTTTGTTCATAGGTATTTAGTAGAGAATTCATCGTGGTTAGAGGAAAAATTAGGAGACGTGGATGATGATTACATTATTTTCGATTGCCCGGGTCAGATAGAATTATATACACATATGACGGTCATTCGTCAATTGACAGTAATATTACAAAATCTAAATTTCCGTATTTGTGGAATATTTTTGGTAGACAGTCAATTTATGATCGATGGATCGAAATTTTTATCAGGCACCATGGCTGCCCTTAGTGTAATGATTAATTTAGAGTTACCACACGTTAATATTCTCAGTAAAATGGATTTATTGTCAAAAAGTGCAAGAAAACAATTAGATAAGTATTTAGAACCCGACCCGTACAGTTTATTAGCAGGCATGGAAACAGATTTTTGGAATGAAAAACATAGAAAACTTACAGAGGCTATAGGAAGACTGATAGATGACTATAGTTTAGTACGTTTTTATCCGTTACATATAAAAGACGAGGAGAGCGTCGCGGATATTAAATTAACGATCGACAATATTATTCAGTATGGAGAAGATGCTGATGTTAAAATCAGAGATTTTGATGAGCCTGATGATGATGATAAAGATAGAAATTAGGATAAAAAATGTATAATTATTTCATTAAATAAAGTATTTTTATGGTACATTTTTCCGGAATTAGTTTCTTTATGTTCATAGGAGAGGAAATAGGGTAAAATTTAAGAAAAATTACAAAATTTGTTTAATTAATTTAATTATTGTTAGCTTATGAAAATATCTGTACATGGAAATGGAGGAATATTTACAATGCAATGTTTCACCGTTCCAAATGTGCATTTATCGTATTAAATACAAATAATAGACACCCAAAAGCTAATGTTGACCCATGAGCAACAATAGCACTTCCTTCCCAACCCTCTTCTAAATGATGTGTATCTTGCATCTCGTATTTTGTTAAGTTACATTTACATAATACTCTCTTCCTTTCCGTTTGTTCTTGAGAAAGCAATACTTTTTCTTTAATAATAGCTTTCACTGCTTCCGTAGTTTCTTGTTCTTTAGTTATCGATTGTATTTTCTCATCAGTTTCTTCTTTTATTTGTTCTCTTGCCGTTTCGGTATAGTTACAAGAATAAAGTACATTATCAACCATTGTCCCATATTCGCTGTAATTTAATAATTCATAACGTTTTGTAACCTGCAAATAAAAATATACAAAATTACATATTTTTTAGCATTTGCTAAAAGCGTATAGTTCGATGATATAAAATAAGACAGAATAGCCTTTTCATATCATTACCTCATCGAAGAAAATAATAGCATGTTTTGAAGATGTATAGCTGCAGTTACCATAATTGGACAAAACTAAATCACAGTTTGGGCCACTTCCTATAGTTAGCGTTTTATGAAACATGAAAACAGGTGGTTTAGGTTTATGGTTTAATGAAAACAATGCAGCTCTAGCCATCATATGACAATTAATCGTGTGATAATTTTCTCCGTCTGAATCTAATATTTGCTCTAACCGTTGCAATGCTAATGCTTCCAATACTGGTCTTTCAAGTAACTGTACACCTTCTTTTACATCATAACTGAAACGTTCTGCATAATATTCGGCCGTACTATCGTCGTTACACCTATTTTCATCTACACTTTCTTCTTCTGCTTTCTCCTTACATTTAGTTTCATTATTTGTCTCCTCCTGATTATTTTCTTCTTTTATCTCATTACTCTTTTCAACTTCTTTTTCTACTTCCATCAATTCTTCTGTCTTCTTTATATCTGTGCATTCTACTTTAAGAGCTTTGCTATCATTGCTTTCTCTATCTTGTTCTTTAGTTTTCTTGGCTATTGGTTGTATGACAGCATCATGATAAAATCGTACAGGATCTAATTCTGGAGGGTGTTCATAGTGGAATTTTACAGAACAGGGAACCTTTACTCTTGTTCGACCATCCAATTTGACCTTTGTACGGAAAAGTGGGTTCGTTGCACGCGCTTTACGCAAAAAAGCTAACTTCACTGCATGTTGATCTATACGTTGATTGGCATATTTGTCCCAAAGCTTGATACGTTCTGTTACTCTACACGATGTCAATAGATTCTGGTCTATGAAATGATTTGGATGATTAGGACACATCCATCTACCAATAGGAAAAGCAGTTAGTGGAGGGTCTAAACAGTCTTGGTGAAAATACAATGGACAGTAATCACATGCAATTAAAGGCGCTTTTCTGCAACTACGCCCGCATTCGAAACATAAACGTGCTGGCAAAGGTACCATTAAATTGCTGTCCAAACAATGACTTTTTCCTACTAATATAAGAAAAAAGAGGATTATTATTGTCGAAATTAACGAGTGTAGTACATTTTTCTGATGAGCAATGAAATAACATACCATTATTATTTCCACATTGTTGCTTCCCTCTTCTACCCGAAACATAATCTACTTTATTACTACCAGGAAACATTATTGGTAATTGTAACTCTTTAGGCAATTCAAACTCTCTGGGATTAACTAGGGATGCTGCTAAAGCTAGTACCTCCAGAGCAGATTTCTTCTTGTTCTTTTCATTTCCTTTACTATCCAAAATATTTCTTTTCGAAGCACAGCGACAAGCATAACACAACCATTCTCCGTTAGGAATATCTGCTGGATCCACTGCTGGATAACTAGATAATTATATTTCATATTGTATTTCACGTTTTTTTTTTATTACAGAGTTATAATAAAGGTTTCATATAAATAGATATTAGGAAGTTTTTTTCATGATAAGCTATTGTGTAAATAATTACTTTTTAAATAAAATTTATCCACAGTATTGTTTAAAACTGTTATAGTAAATTCTTTTTATACAGGGTATTGAAAAAGTATAGGACAAGCTGAAACATGAAAATCCCTTATGTCAAAAGAAATTAAAAAGTTCTTTGTAATTTTGCTATTACAGGTTTCATTTTTGAGATAAGTACATTTAAAATTTCATAGTTCAACTCTTGACATGCACTATGGTATTATTAAGCGGCTGAGCAATCTTAGTCACATACACGCATTAATGCACAAGGAACTTGTGTCTGATGATTTTCAGATAAGAAACACGTGTGCTCTACAATATGATAACTATAGCAACTTTTTGTATGGAAAAGATTAAACCTGAATGAGTTTTGATTTCCTTTTTCTCGAGAAACTTGAACTCACTGGCATTGCAAATGATATGACGCAGGACATTTGTCACAGCATATAAGTTCTCCTCCATCCCTACAGGCATCACAGATATCATGATTATGACCTCGTCCTCGTCTTTTAAAATATGGATGTTTCTTCTCTTCCTTGTCTTTTTTATTTTTTGCTGTTTTTGAATCTTCTGATACGGGTGGTGCTATGAGAGCTTGAATTTGCTAAACGTACAAAGATCAAACAAAAAATGGGAATTTCTTACAACTAAATACTTTTATACATAAAAACAATCTTATTTCAATAAATTATTCATATTCCTTTTTTACTTACTGGCATTAATCCTCCGATCATCGGGAACCCATACTCTACGGTACCCATTTCGAAACAAGCTTTTGATTTTCAGAACCCTAAAATCACTTTTTCAAATAATTTTTCTCTTATTGCCATATAACATTTATTTGTGTAGAAATAACAGACCTACCCCCACTTTCTATTTTTCATATCCAAATTGGTTATGTTTAAAACTTAGAAAAAGAAGATACTAGATATATGGCCTCCATTTGTAGAAAATACCATGGATCGCACTGTGCCCTGTCGAGAAACGTGTAAAATAATTTTATAACATTAATTAGTTAATTATTTGTCATAGTCCAAAGAACTGTACGTAATTATTACATCAAAGAGAAATACTAAGAGAAGTATCGAAGAGAAAGGGACTTATAACGTGTAACATTAGGTTTTGGAGGGAAATTTCACTGTAATATTTAACATATTTTATTAATATATAAAATCCGTATATCTTTACAAAATAGCGAATGAATGGATATTTTTATTATGTTTATTAAATATCAAGTCATGGAAAGACATATGACAAAAGTATTAACAAATACATATATTCTATTGTTTCCTATCTCTTTATTCTTTTGTTAATCAAATTATTATTATGTCATTTCGAAGTTAAGTTTATTGAAATTTCTTTAAACTATCTGCACGTGAGATACAGTGTAAAAAGTGTTGGAAAAACTTTTAAATTATGATTTATAAGTTCGTGTCTATGCATGGTAACGATTGAAAATTCAAGACATCTGTCTGATAATGTAAGGATAATATATAACATTGCATTTTTTTAAACAGTTTCATTGAAATCAGAAGAATAAAATAACATTAAATATTGTGAACGATGGGAAATGTGTATTTTGTAGAATTAGAATAATGACGACGCAAAGCTTGAGCAAAAAGTCGATGACGTCATCGTCAATAGTTCGTTAGGATAGAAACGATTAAAACAAAAGTGTATCGAATAAATTAAACAGCGAAGTAAAAATATAAATCAGATTCTTCGAAAACCCTTCCATTTTAAACAAATTTTGAAAAGTTCGATGTATTAATTAACATCTGTAATGGTTGATGGCAGTTTATATCGATACATCGATGTTTCTTTATTTTTTGCCATCTAATAATAAATATTATAATTTATTATATTCGTCTATTGGGACGAGACATGCAGGGTGTTCGGCCATCTCTGGGGAAAATTGTAATGGGAAATTCTAGAGGCCAAAATACGACGAAAATCAAGAATATCAATTCGTTAAAAAGTTATTAACAATTAAATTCAAAACTTTCAAATCGTTCTGGAAAAATTATTTTCGGTTGTGGGGGTCAATTACGTTCATTTTTGGCGAATAAACATCCCCCCCCCCCAATCCTACGCATTTTGGAGGGAAAAGTTTAATACGACGGAACTTTAAACGTTAATAACTTTTTAAAGAAGCTTCAATCGACAAATTAGTATTTTTGATTTTCGTCTTATTTTGGCCTCTAGAATCTTCCATTAAATTTTTTCCCCAGAGGTAGCCGAACACCCTGTATACGAAAAATGCATATCAGATAACAGCTATTGATTCGTCATTTGGTGATGTCAATGTTGAATTTGTATGCGTTTCTGTAAATTTTTTGTTTCTTGTATTTTTTTCCTGTATTCCTATTTGTTATGTTATATTTGTTTAATTCGAATAGTATGTATATACTTTGCTTATCGTGGTATTTATATTTATGTTTAGAAAGCAATAAATTTCCCAATATATCAGTAAAAATAGAAATATAATACTGTAGCAATTATAACCAGTACGATGTTACGTGTGTTTGTTTGTAATTGGTAATTTGTTTTAGTTTAAAGTTCATCCAACTAATTATAAATCTTTTTACTAATTTTATCAATAATACATAGTATGGAGTCCAAATAATAACGTATTAGACTGTTTTTTCACAAACCAATGAGAATAGTTACGTTTTTGTTCTTTTAATCAAGCGATCTAGGAGAGTTAACCTTTTCGTACATAACAAATTCGTTTGAGACGATTGTTAGAAGAAAACTAGAGGCTCCCTAGATTTTTAAAATGGAATCTGATGTTATTTTACATGTATCAATATATATATGTTTCAGGATTATACATCTGAAAGGTTGTACATACGACGATGTAACTTCCGTGCTTATAAAGAAGAGGAAAGTCTTTTGGGATGAGTTCTTTTTTAAATATTCCCAAAAAGTATGGCTAAATTTTGATTTATTTGTGTCGGAAGATGTTTAAAAATAATAACAATGATTTTAATATGTTTTAGATGTCGTATGAAGTTGAAGATGAAGATATTGTCACGAGAGTATCGTCACGAATGAAAAAGAACTTGGTAAGTTCTACACAGCATTGGGTAAATACTGGTTATTTTCCTTATTCCATGTATAAAAAGTCAGATATGTGTTTAAAAACATGTTCTCGATATAAGAAAGTATCTTCAAATTTATTACATCGCCGTACCATAGAAGAGAAATCGATTAAAAACGATGAAAAACAAAGATTTTGTGAAAATTCCAATACCACCTCTGTCGATACTATGGCATATATATTGTCAAATATGAACAGAACAAATAAAGTTGAAACCATGGCTATCATAGAAGGAGCAAAACATAGTATATCAACAAATTCTCAGAATGTAATCTGTGAAAATACTGAGTTGATAAAACGTCTAGATAAAATGTCTAGAAAAAATTGTGGAGATCCAGTATCGAATGTTAATAATAATAATAATCAAATATGCTCTTTTGCACCTTCTTCTGAAAAAATAAAACAAGAAAAGAATGACCTACAAAAGACTAGAACTGCACTAGAGAAGAGTGTAGATACAAGTATTAACAAAATTCTGTTGCTTGATACGGTTAAAAAAGGCAAAGAATTGTTTCATGACTCTAAATCTCATTCCAATAAACAGTTCAGTGAGAATATTAATGTCAGTGGAGAAAGTAATTCGGATACACAGAATTCGATTACAAAGTCGTTGAATACCGAACAAAATGACTCGATAGAAAAAGACCCTATATTGCAAAATAGTCCCGTAACGGTGGGTCATCGTAGAAAACTGTATAGCGAAAGAAGATCACCTATCGATCTCGTCGATATGCAAATCGGTAACGAGAATATTACGATGTCTAAATTAACCCAGCATTTGCATTCAGCAATATATACTAAACCTGAAGTTAAAAAAGAGAATAGAACATCCGTGATAAGCAGATCAAAGAATCGCTTTTTCGTGTTAAATAAAAATTCCGAGAAGAATAACAACTCGCTCTATACAAATTCTACTGTTACAGATAGTTCGATGACAAATCAAAATTTATATATAGATAAATCTTTGTCAACTGATGTAGTTTGTTTAAGGCGGCTAACAGAAAATAGCGAATCAACATTTCCGAATTTATTGCTTGGTAAACCGGAAATCGAATACTTGTCCGACAATAGCAGTTATAGTTTAAACAGTATACAAATTTGTAAATGCGACAATTTTGATACTAGCGAAACCTATGACGACGAAGATAGTATCAAATCTGCTTCGATAGTAGAAACTAGAACGTTACGTTCCGATGAATCGGAAACAGTTTGTAAAGATAATCATGGCAATAATGTACGTATAGATAGCGATCAAAAGTGTTTTTTATCCGATGGCGATGACGAGTTTACAAACATTGTACAGAAGTATTACACAAACTGGTAGTAAGTCATCAAATTCCATGCAATATTGGGGCGAATGTAGTCTCAGCTTTTAAGAATCAATTTTTACGCTTCATTTTCTTCATCGTTCCCTGTTCATATTTATTCAGTATCGCCGGTTTAAAGCTTCAAGATCAATGGCTAGCTGCCCTTCTTTTCCAACGAATCATCGAGATTCATGGAAACGTTCGTAAGGAGAGTATAAGACTTTCGGGATCACAGATTTAATTGTACAAACAAACTCAATATTTTTCGAGTTACTCCCATTTAAAGCTGTCGAAGCCTTAAAGGATCATACAGATGGAAATCAGTTGGCAAAATGTCTGAATTTCATGTACGATGTTTCAATGCTTCCTAGTCATTTTCTTCTTGTTGATTTTTTGCTTTTTGTTGATGACTCTCTGTCGATCGATGGATCGCGTCCTGTTATCCTGTTTATGATCATTGACTTATGCGTTGACATGCTCGTTAACGATGTTAAATTTACAAGTACAAGCTATTAAACTTTATCAAAATTATCGCATGAGGGTATTATAGTATGTTATCTGATGAGTACTGTAGTTAGAAAAATTGTGATTTTTTTATTATCAGTTATTATTAGTATGTACATAAGTATAGAGAGACAGAAGATCGTAGATCTGTGCTAGACTTTGCATGTATTTGTTAATTTTTTCTGCAAAGTCGATCGAATTTTATCACTTTTTTTAAATAACGGAATTCAGGAAGGTAATCGAAAACAGATTTGATGTTTTATACAAATTTTATTAGGAAATCGATATATATATTTTTAATAGATTTTTAACTATCGAACGGCTACGCCAAGTATATGCTCCCTCGAAAGAATCAGTTGAAACGTATGGGACACGTAGCCTTCGAGAGTAAATGTGTCCCATGTGATGCGATCGAAGCCAACATTTTTAATGTGCGCTATAGGATCGAAATCCAGGTGACAGCCTCCAAAGAACGAAGGCCATACTCCTGTCCGTGATAATACTTTCTGTAACCATCGTATGAAAATACCTTTGCTCTCAGGCACGTGTTCTATAAACAAATATTGACCACCCTGAAAACAAATAACAGTCCAAATGAATATATTTTATAAACGTATGTACACATATAAGTATTAGTTATTTTAAAAAGAGACGAATATAAATACAAAGCTATTAACGATGTTTTAAAATTACAAATTGTGTCCAGCTTTCTTTCTACGCTTTTATACTTTTCATGGCATCGTATATTTTGATCTAATCGGTTCTGTATCGAGTATTGAATTTAAAATGTAAAACTATTTTCATTTCTTCGCGATATTTTTAGGGATGTGAAAGCAGAGGATTTCAATCTTAAAAATGATACGAATACGATACCATGTGCATAGTAGAAGCAGCGACCTAATATCACCATAAACGCTAATTATATTACCGGTGCCAGGACTCTGTGAATCTCTCGAAGCGTTGATTCTATCGAGGTCACTGAACACAATGATCTTGTAGTTACAACCACGTCAACATGCCCTGTTGATACATCTTTCAGGGAACAGCCATCGCCAACGATCAGTCGTTCGATAATAATATGCGAAAACTGCCAGGAACGATTTCCGTTTATCAGATAATCGGCCAGTTTCAGATTACGGTCAACGCAAATCAAATGCGTATTATCCGGATAAAATTGTATATTTTCACCTGCAATCGTTACCATTAGTTTACACGGGTAAAGAGAATCTTCAATTGCAGTTTTAGTTATGAAAAATTTTGTTTTAACGATTCGTGAGCCGTTCGAACGTCATCTTCATAATGAGAGGAATGTATCAGTAGCTAAACAAAGAAATTTTAAATACTAAATTCTGAGAAACTATAGAGAATATATCAATAGAAGAATGCATAAAAAAAGATTTTGCACAAACAGAGAATTTCGTTTCAAAAACTAATTCGAATAAAAACTGATGCTTATCTTAAATTCCTTGGGGGAGGCTTCGAACTACATAGTACCAAGCGTTAGATAGAAATCGAAACGTTACGTTATGGAAAAACAGAGATATGTCGTTTTACTCTGCTTTTCTTTAACCATGGAAATAGATTATCATTTCCTGCACGTTCTCTGACAGTTTTAGCTAATAAACGTACCAGTTTTAACACCAATTTCTAGTACACGAATGCAACCCATTGACCGTAGTCTGCTGTCATTGGAAATAATATGCTGCAGCAATTCGAACAAATTTTTCTTATATTGCGACGAAAGTTCCGCGCATTCTACTTCGAATCCTGTCAGACAGGACTTGTAAACGCTTCTCTGTAGATCGGACCATTTGGACGATATCCAAAATATCGCGTAAGTGAAAACGAACGACACGAATCCGTAATTCGTGATTATATCGCGTACCCACAGGTCACTATTGCTCATCTTTTCTTATGTTTAAAGTCTTGTCTCCTCAAAACTCAAGTCGACTTCTTAAACGACACATTCGCGTTTACTTTGAACGTCCCGAGGTCCGCGGTTCTTCTTTTCGTAGTTCCATCGCAAATAACCGATCGACAAAGTTAATTATTTCCACTGTCTTTCGATACCAAACGCTCGTTGTTCGTTAATTCTACTTTATTATAGAAACATTGCTCACAACAGAGTACAAACGTAAAGTTTGGGCACATATGTAACTTTTACACGACCAGCGCTCACTGAACTGGTATAAATACTCCCGTTTCCAAGCTAATCGTTTATGATAAGATAAGTCTTATAACTATATTTTCTGAATATGTAATTTCGTCTCGGAATAAATGCTTCTCGCCGGCGTGGAATCGTAAATAAAATTTAAGAAGATTCGAAGTATTTTGTTGTTACGGGAGTATCTTATAATTCTTCGTTCGGTAATGCCGAATTGCTTAATTTTCATTTTTGTCCGCTCGATAATTTTGTTTGCCGCAATAAAACACAAGCTCACGAAGATGCAACGTGTTGCGAAATAATTGGGTGAAAGGGCATCGGATGCATTGCTTGTTGGAAATTAAAATCGAATTTACCGAAACATTTTTTCCCGGCATTTATCAGTTCACGGTCGACGTGTTTTGTTGTGAACAATTCCGATAATCCGACTTCGAGGAAAACCGTAAAACTTTTGACCACAGATCAACCGGAACACCAGTTATCCGTAACTTGTAATAATTATTGAGCACAAAGGATCCGGAGACAATGGGAAAGTTATAAAAATAGAAGCTCAAGCTTACGGTGCTTCATATTTTATATTTCTATCGAAGGACTCGATCTTCGAGATGACAATGATAACTAGACTGCGGATCTTTATGCAAATTCACATTTTTAATAATAGAATTAATGAGATTGGAGCTTTGTAGATGATTGTCTCAACCTTTAAATATAATAATTCGTATCTTACGTATTTCTTATATTTTTGAGGATTAAAATTTCCCATAAATGCATAAACATCCGCAGTCTAATGATAACTATTATATAATTACGAGTGTCGTTTCGTTCCTAATAGTATAAATAAAAAAGCTATAAATATTGATCTGAAAATGTATTCTTTCCGGGTTGTAAATGAGAGAGAGAGAGAGAGAGGGTGATGTATAAAGTTTGATCGGAGAGAAAACAATTCGGCTGCTACAGCAAAAGGCAAAACAATGGGCCGGCGTTTTCGAAATGCGAGAAAGTGCGTTCGTAAGTTAACAAAGAGGAAACCAGCCAGCGGGCAGAGAGAAAAACGCTCGAGACGAACATATCGAAGCTAGGGGAGCGTGATTCTTTGTCACTCGAGTTTTAAGAGTGACCACAAACAAAACGGGCTCGATCAATTTAGTCTCTCGAGCGAGTGCGTGCATTCGTTTTCCTTTTGCCCGTGGCTCTTGAACGCGCGTACGTACACGCATCGTGCATCAGTCTATGCGTTTCACATGCGCGAAACTCGAAATTCCCTTCATTCGGAAGCATTTCGCTAGCCCAGGAGAGGCGTTTTGTTGTTAGCATTGGGGAGGAGAGAAGGCCGACCGTTTTCGTAATGGCTCGTTGATTCCGGAGAATCGCCGTAAAAAAATCATACATACGTCTTTCCTCATCTATTCTTCGATGTCTTTCCTCTCGTCGATGCTAGGCGATCGAGTTTTTCGAACAGAAACGCTCTACTTCTATGATAGAGTCGTCTCCCTAATGCTTCTAATGATAGAGTCATCTCCCTATCAATTCTGGTCATTAAACGTTCGTACGTGAGATTAATCAAAGTTCCTCGAAAACGTGTAAATTAAGTTTAACAATAGGCAAACTAGTTCACCTTCACGAATTTTTTTCTCGAAAATGCGTAGGTTTTCGGGGGTATGTCTATTCACCAAAAATGATTGTAATTGACCCCTGCAAACGACAATATTTTTTTCAGAATGATTTGAAATTTTTAATTTCGTCGAAAAATTTCACACCTACTCGAATTTTTATCTCAAAAGTGGTTAGGATTACGGGGGTATGTGTAATGAACAAAAATGATTGCAATTGACCCCTGCAAACGAAAATATTTTTTTCGGAATGATTTGAAATATTTAATTTCGTCGAAAAATTTCATACCTTCTCGAATTTTTTTCTCGAAAGTGGTTAGGATTTCAGGGGTATGTTTAATGACCAAAAATGATTGTAATTGACCCCTGCAAACGAAAATAATTTTTTCGAAACGATTTGAAACTTTTCGATTTCGCTGAAAAATATAGGCACCTACCCCCTGTCGATTTTCCTTAAAAATCAGTTTTTCATTTTTAATAACTTTATTTGACGCCCTATAGAAAAGTTGTCTAATACTTTTTTGTAGGTACCCATGGGCTCTACTTCAGAAATAAATTTCAATCAAATCCATTCACTATTATAGGAGTTATGGCTGTTTGAAAATTGGACCATTTTTATGGGGTTTTTCTCTCTTTACGGGGTCAAGGGTCAACTTTTCGAATATTTTTACGATTTCTACATATTCTCCGCTAAAATACGCGTAGTTTGCTTTTTTAAACATTGAAATCGTCCAATCCGTTCAGGAGTTATGACGTTTCAAAGATTCGCATGAAATTTCAGAGGTGCATTTCTGGCCTCGCATTAGATTTTCGGTAAGGAATTTTTTTCTCGAAAGTGCGTAGGATTTCGGGGGTATATGTAATGACCAAAAGTGTTTGTAATCGACCCCTGCAACCGAAAATAATTTTTTCACAAGGATTTGAAATTTTTTTTTTTCGCCGAAAAATTCAGGAACGATTTGAAATTATATTTTATATATATTAATATATTTATTTGTTACAAAAGCGTTGTTGCGAATACTATAAAGGACATTAAATTAATTATTTAAAAAAATGAATAGATCGATGAAACGAATTCTTTTCAATTTAAGGTTCACTTTGTTGTCTGCTCGATTACAAAGAATTTCGTTACTTTTTGCTCCCCGTTTTCTGCCGTTCAAGGATGCCCGTAGGCACGTCAGCAATTTTAAGTTGGACACGTACAACCGCATGAACAATTCTTCGAGTGCCTCGACGGCTTATTGGCGAGCACGAAGTGAGACGCCCACCTATCTGTTCGATCTTTCAAAGGTGAAAAATATTTAAATGCTGTCGTAGCTACTGCCACGCTATCTTACGCACTTGTAACACACATTACCGTATTTCTCCACGCGTTTCTTGCGCGAATCGATCGATGAACGAAACTTTTCAACCGCGTGTTTTACAACAAACACTTGTAAACAGTGGTTACGAACAATGAAGTAGTTGCAAACAGTACGAAAGATAGATTACCCAATGGATCATTATAATGGAGCGTTCTTCGGAAAATTGTAGGCTTGCGTCGACCAAAGTTAGTAGTAAAAATGTACCGTATGCGGTTCTGTATATTTATATAAACAATTAGTAATTTTATTGCGAATTTGCATGTATGTATTTATGCGTCACTCCACTGAAAACGGAAGAAAACGTATTTTTCTATCTCTATTGCAATTAAAAAGACGAAGCGTGCACTTCTTCGTTCGATAAAAGATGAAGGGACTCTTGAAATGAGTTCTGTGCAAGCTTTACGACTATGTCGATATTAAAAATAAATATTTCTCCTTGCGGAGTCACTTCCGGTGGATGACGTAAATGTGGAACCACTGTAAGTATTTTCGCTTCCTACAATACATATATTCAGCGAAACACGACGCCGTGAGGCATACAAGACGTACTTGAGAAGCTCTTTTTTTCAAGTGTCGCCACGGCAGCGAAGTCGACGGCATTGTCTCCATTGTTGGCGAATCGTAATCAATATTTTCACAATATGGCGCCATTGTCCTTAGCACGAGCAAGGTGCAAGGGTTCTTCGTATGTTCTGTGAAGCTTTTATCCCTCAACACTACCGTTTCATCATTATTTAAGTAGTACTGCAAACTAAAATGAAATATCGCCAAGGAAACTGTAACATTTGCATCGGCGTATCTTAAGTCGCGATGACTTTTGGAAGAAGTGTTCCATCGTTTAGGTTTATTTAAGGTACCCCGTATCCACGTCATGAGTCATTGATTAGCAATGATCGAGCTCTCGTTATAGATCACTGGTTACCAATCAGAGCTGTTTGAATTGTTCGGTCGAATAATTAAAAGCTAGGAGAATCAAGGGGGGTAAAAGCTAGGGGTTCAAACGATAGCCTGTATCCCCACTGATGTTATTAGGGTGCTTAATAACTAAAAAAAAAGAACAATATTTTTAACAGATCAATTTTATAGTACTCGATTTTTCAACGAATTTCTATTCAAAATTAATTCCGGTATTAAGGTAAAAAAAATTGCAAATATCTTTAGCGAGAGGTCAATAGTTCATGCTACTCCACCTTCATGTTACCTGTTTTCTTGTCGCGTGGCTAAAACGCTAGATGGCATTACTACAACGGTGTCTAGGAGTTCATCAATTAGACCAGGAAGAATTTATTATTAAAAAAGAAACGTAACATTATGGAAAATTAAAGAAATCTTCGATCTTAATATTCCGAGAGATCTAGTCGTTTTAATACGACCGAGTCTTTGGCGAAAATCGGGATAATTAAATCGATACAAGATCCACACAGCGTTAGAATGTTTCGAACATTTATAAATGGCAACGTAAGACTTCAAACAAATTGTTGAAGCTCTATGTTAAGTTAAGGATAAAAAACTAGTTTTCTTAGGGACTTAGATATTCATTTAACGTCCAAATATCGAAGTTATATTTTCTGTATTGTGAGAAGCGTCGCGTGGTAGATGGTCGCGTTAGGTACCGGCACTTCATCGTAAAGTAATAAATGCATTAACCGGAGTCGACAATGCGTTTATCGTCAAACAAGTCGTAAACGATTACAATACTCGGAGGAAACTCAAGATCAAGTAAAAGAATGCCGTGAAACTAGCAGGCCGTGATTTTGATTTACGAGGAGCGCTTATTTCCGAGGTTACGGCAACACGCTGACACGAGGACACGATTTTCCTCCCGATTCTTGCTTTCCAACGCCTTGAAAACTTATTCGAACAAAATCTAGTATCTACCAAGAATTTGGATAATAAATTTTAATAATTTCAACATGTTGAGCAACCGAGATGATATAGAAAGCACTATAAGATAGAAAACTCGAATGGCGGCCATGACAGTTCTATATTACGTAGAAATATTGCACGGAATTGTGGGAATTTCAGACAGAAGCCGACTGTTTTCCCGACAGGGGAAAGTTTTAAAAGAAAATATGGTATTTGTCAGGAGGGGGGGGGGGGGGGGGGGGGACAGAGGCTACTTCGCGTACGGTTTCCGAGGAGGAGTTCCGAACCCGGAATCTTTTCCTCGAAAGATC